TGATCGACCGTCTCTTCACTCGTTCCACACAAGACACATCTATTCGCGATAGACCACCCCCTCTTCTGCAGGTTGTCCAGAGTCAACACTTTCTTGTGAGCCACCAGCCAAATGAAGCTGCAAATCTTGGAAGGGATAAGCTTTCTCCAAACTGACTCGGCCGGGAAGTCATCGACTCCTTGGAATTGGCTGCTTACAATAGACCTGTACATCAACTTAACTGAAAAGGAAGAATCTGGACGTGAAGTCCAAACAATTCGACTCGGCCCACAGGCGACACAATGATTAGTAGAGATAGAAAGAAGATTAAATAAATCAGCCCTCTCCCTCTCAGCCCCCCCTCTCAAATTAACATTAAAATTCAGATTCCAATGAACATTCTCACCAGACCTGGTTATGATGTCGGCGACCCAAGCATCCGGAGAAGACGCGGCAGCGGCGATGCGCGGGAAGGCTTTAGCAAGGGTTATGTTCGGGATCCAGCAATCCTTCCAGAAGGAGACCCAAGCACCTCCTCCAGGATCAATGTGGGCATGCTTCCAGAAAGTATCATATTCCTTGGTGATGTTGGCCCAAACAGACCCCGAGAATCCGCTTTTACAGCGGTCACTTTGCCACGTGGAATGGGAATCGGAATACTTGGTCTTAATAAGCTCCTTCCACCAAGAGTTATTCTCAGAAGCGAACCTCCAGAGCCATTTGGCAAGCATGGATTTATTGAAGCTCTTGATATCTACAATGCCAAGGCCGCCATCCTCCTTTGAAGCCTTGCACAGCTCCCATCTCACAAGGGGAATCCTTTGATTATCTGACGTACCACTCCACACAAATCTCCTTTGGATCATTTCGATTCTCTTCACTACCTCCGTAGGGGCTCGCAGAAGAGAGAAGTAATAAGTGGGCTGATTTGACAAAACTGATTTGTTCAAAACCAGTCTGCCACCAAAGGAAAGAAATCTGGTCTTCCAACCCTCGAGCCTTTGACGGTACTTCTCAATGATGGGATCCCAAGTCGCGATAGCATTCACCTTTGATCCAAGAGGGTAGCCAAGATATTTGAAAGGTTCATTGCTCCACCTACACCCCATAATATCCGCAAAGAATTCTGGGTTCGGAACGTCACCCACGGTAAACATAATCGATTTGTCCATATTGATCCTCAGACCCGAAACAGCTTGGAAGCAAACAAGAGTGGCCATGATGCATAAGACTTGATCACAGGAAGCGTCGCAGAAGATGAGGGTGTCGTCGGCGAATAATAGATGTGAGACTTCCCCTGCACTCGTGATTTCATTCATGCAAAAACCTTTGATTTTCCCCGCTTCTCGTGCCTTGTTCATCATAAATGACAAAACATCCATAACAAGGACAAAGAGGCCCGGAGAGAGAGGGTCGCCTTGCCGGAGGCCCTTCTGGGGCTGAAAATAGCCTTTAGCTTCACCGTTAATGAGGGTAGAAATGACCGGAGAGCACATAGTTCCACGCATCCAACTTAGCCACTTAGGAGGAAAACCGAGCTTTGAAAGAACTTTGAAGAGGCAATCCCAACTAACATTATCAAAAGCCTTTTCGATATCAAGCTTGAACATAATCCCAGGCTTCTTGCTCTTCCGCCGGCTGCCCAGGAGCTCAAACGCGATCAGACCAGCATCCGAAATCTGTCTTCCTTTGACGGACGCATGCTGGTTGGGAGAAACCAATTGAGGCAACACCTTGCTTAACCGACGGGCCAGAACTTTGCTAATTAGCTTATTCAAACTGCCCATGAGGCTAATGGGACGCAAGTCCTTGATCTCTTCCACTGTATCCTTTTTAGGCACAAGACAAAGGAAAGAGTGTGTTGCGCATTGAGGTAAGAAACCGCTGCTGTGAAATTCTGCAAAAACTTGGAGTAAATCTCCTCTAATCCACTGCCAACACCTTTTAAAAAATTCCCACGAGAAACCATCGGGTCCGGGAGCTTTATCACCAACACTATCCGCAAGACTCGCCCATATTTCCTGTTCCCTGAAGCTACCAACAAGCTCCTCTATAGCAGTGCCATCAAGACTTCTGTCAGCATAAACAATAGGGAAAGGCCTCAGTCAATCACCTTCATAAGCACGTGACGGAGGAGAAGATGATGCGATAATGGTTGTGTTGAGCTTGCCCTTTTGGCGTTCGACTGAAATTAAATCGACTGAAATATACAAATTAGTCGATCAATCGAACTATTTATCAGATTTTCGAGTTGATAGTCTTATAGATAACCAGCAGCTAGTAACGAGCACTAAGACTTTCAATAATACTTAGTCATTTTATGGTGGGTCATTTGTGATCGGTCATTTGATTGTTTATGGATCACATACTTCACATTATTCACAAGAAGACGAATTTAGAGTTGTTAGGTTATGTGATGTCGCTATCGCTATCCAAATCTTTCTTCTTTTTCCTGTTTTGGATATGATATTTTAATACGAGTATACGACCAAAGGGTTAAAGCCGAATAATTAACACATCTTTTTCAAAAGAAGACAACGCCTAGCTATCTTCCACTTGAGAAAATGATCGCACCATATATAGTGGGAAATGGGGACCGTATCCTGTTCACAATTATTCTCTGCTAATGCATATATTTCTAGCTGCCAAGTGTTTTCTCTTTTCAGCCCATCACCTTCATATATGCATGTGATGGAGAAGAAGATGATGCGATAATGGTTGCTGTGTTGAGCTTGGCTTATTGTGTTCGTCACACCTAGGATTTTCTCATCTCTTCAATTAATTCTACATGTTTTCCCCCTATTTGTTAGCTAATTTAACTCAACTTTTATACTTTGATGGATATTGGGTCGGATTAAAATACCCAAACACACTTTAATTGATTTGGTTTGGTTTTGAGTTGAGTTGAGTTTGAATTGAGTCCATGATAAAAACAGTGGATCTAGAACGTCCAGATGGGAATGACTGTTTATGAATCATACTAAAAAATTAGAGCAATCCATAACACATGAATGACTGTATATGGATCATAATTCACATTATGCACAAGAAGACGAACCGAGAGTTGATAGGTTATGTACTATCGCTATCTCAGATCTTTGTTTTCTTTTTTGTCCTTTATTTTTTCTGTTATGGATAGGGCTGCAAATGAGCCGAGCTGAGCCGAGTTTTACCCAAGCTTGAGCTTGACTCGTTAACAAATGAGCTGAGCTCGAGCCCGAGCCATTTATTAACGAGCCGAGTCGAGTCGAGTTCGAGCTAGGCTTGTTTACTAAATTCTCATATCGTATTTAATACATTCATTTTGTATGTCGTGTATGGTACATGTGATTGATGTAGCGATAAAAAAATAATCAAATGTTCAGCATTAATTAATCTTATATTATAATTTTTAGGTGTCATATTATTTAGTTAATAAATTTTAACTAGTTCAAATCATGTTATTTCATAGTATCGAAACAATTTTTTACATAATTTCTTTATAGAATTAAAAATAAGGCATATTTTCTTACATGTTCAACATGTTAAACTTCACATGATGTGAGATATATAATTTAACAATCCTATGAATTATGAAAGTCCAAATTAGATCGATTAGTCCATAAGTCAGTGATCAAGTTGGCCCTCAAAACCAAAATGTTGAGACATCTCATGAGCTCTAAATGAGCCAACTCACGAGTTGAGCTCAACAAGCCACCGAGTCGAGCTAGCTCGCGAGCTTCACGAGCTGAACAAAGCTAAGCTCAAGCTTGGCTCGTCAGTAAACGAATCGAGTTTCGAACGAGCTTTTCCCGATTCGAGTCTCGAGTTGCTCGCGAGTAGCTTGGCTCATTTGCAGCCCTAGTTATGGATATGATATAATATGAGTATATATGGCCAAAGGGTTAGACAAATAATTAACATCATCTTTTTCAAAAGAGGACAACGCCAGGCTATCATCCACTTGGGAAAATGATTGCACCACCGCAGTGAGGAAATGGGGACCCTAGCCTGTTCACAATTATGCTCTGCAAAAGCGGTTGAACTCTAAATTGTTGGTAAGAAATTGCTATAGGATCTACTAAAAGAAATGATAGTATTTTTTTTTCAAGAGGAGGATAGGGTTCAATCTTTATAAAAATAAATTGTGAGCATATATATATGTATATAATTATTTATATGAGAGTTCAAAAATCAAAATCTCTCCCTACACTAGATGCTGATCAACAGACCTGATCCGACAATAACTCAATTATTTCTCACCAAAGATAATTTACAGCATAATTAATACGAATCCTAAACAAAAATTAAAATGGAATCAAACGAATTATTTTAAGAAAATAATCACGAATAATTTTTTTTTAAAAAAGACATAATCATTCCCTCCGTAGAAGAACTTGGTGAGATAAATAAACTTTGAGTGAAGTCTCTTGTCACGTTAGGTGATAAAACACCTAATTTTGGGTTATTCACGTTATATTTGTGTTGTTCACGCCATATTTGTGTCATTAACGTCATATTTGCATTATTCACGTAAGAGTGATGATTATTCACGTAACCAATATTGTTAGGTCACGCCATCTGATGTTTATTCACGCAATTTGTTAATTATTCATGCCGTTGTAAAATAAAATTTTAAACTTTGAAATATATCAAAATGGATGTCATTGTGTAGATTATGATCAATGCAACATATTTATACAGATTAAATGATAATCCAGATTTAATTCCATAAAATATAGCCAATACAAATTATTAGAGGGAAAAAGTATGAATTTTCATTTACGTGAAAAACTTACACTCTTACGAAAATCACCATATTATTACGTGAATAAGCACAAAATGGCGTGAATGGTCACAAAATGGCGTAAATGAACTGGTCTTAGGTGTTCTGTCACCTAACGTGACAAGAGATATTTTCCATAAATTTTTATTAAGTGGAGTTAGTGTGACCAACCTAACCCCAAAATGTATACACATATGAAGATGGACTTATTTCAATTGGAGTACTAATTAAAAAAAAAAACATATTAGTAAACCAATCAATTTTGGGTGGTGGTGAGTGCATTCAAGGCAGCCCTGAGAGAAACAACCTCCTTCTCCTTCTCTTCAAGCGTCTTCCTCAGCAAGGATTCCTTCTCCTCCATCTCCTTCTCCTTCTCCTCCACCACCTTCTCCCACGTGTCCTCGCCGCCGCGGCGGCCTAGTGGAGGCGCCACCAAAACGGCGCCGCTGCTCATGTCCCACACGCTCCATATCGTACCGGTTTCGATTGCCGGTCTGACCCCGTACTTGGACCAACCGAACCGATCGTTGAGCCTCAGCCAGGCGATGGAGGGACCGCCGGCGTGCAGGAGACAGAGACCCTGACGGTTGACCATCAGATAGTGGCTTTCTTTCGGTAAGATGAGATCTCCGATCAGCTCCTTCAGTCGGTCGCCGCCGATGGTCACCCCGAGCACCTCCAGCTCCTTGAACTTGGGCGCGGTGGGTCCCACGCGGGTCGAAGTGGACAGCCTGGGCTGCTGCTTGCTACTCCGCCGGAATATGAAGCCGAAATCTTTCAGGTCGTCGAGGAACGTGTAGACTGAAATTACCGGGGAGCCTTCTTTTGCTCGGATGAACTGGTAGTCGGACGTCAAGCTAAAGACCGACATTATTTTTGTTCTTATGTTACTTTTCGAGATGGAGAAAAAAACAAAAGTAGTAAAGTGTATAGAAGAAGAGGGCGGGAGATGTGCTTGCAAGAGGAAAGAAACACTTAGCTTTTTATATATGTCAGCCAATGTTAGGCATTAGGTGAAAGATTGTCTAGTGAAAGCAAAAATAATAATTTGTATACTAAATGACGAATGAAATATACTTTGTTCCATCGCGGTAACATAGCTATTGAAACTAGGAGCAGCAAAACTCGTTGAAGTGGAAAAAAAACAAGAATCATGGCAGTGAGCGGATTTTGCTGACGTTGTAGATGTACGCTAAACTTAGTTGTGCGCCTAAGTGAGTTTTGCTATTGAAACGATGCATAAATCAAAATTTGATATCATAATATTATATTCTAATCACGAATGGAAGAACGCTAGCTCTTAATTTTTTAAACCCAAGCCTTACAATAAGTTAGTCCCAACATAATAATCGACATATCTAATTCATCGTTAAAAGTATACTGAAATTAATCTAATGATTATTAATATACATAATTTTTGCTCCCCAGTCTATGTTTCATTTTTGACTTTATAGGTGAAAAAGTTTGAAAGCCACTCCTTACGTCCTGTTTTGGATAATATTAAGATACCAACAAAGCAAAAGGATAAAGGAAGATAATAATTAAGGGTTAATTGCATGGATGGTCACTGGATTTACTAAAAACGTTCATGTTTGGTCACTCCAAATATTTAATTTCATTCATGGTCACTAAGATTAGTTCAATAGTTCAAGTTTGGTCACTCTCCGTTGGTCTCCGTTAGTTTTTGCTGATGTGGCAGTCAACTATTATAGTTGACCGTTAAATGAGTGACGTGGCCATTAAAAAATATTAAAATAATAAAATTTGAATATTTATAATTTCCACCTCATTCTATAACTATTAAAAAATAAAAATAAAACTTAACAAATGGTATCCGCCATCTACGCCACCGAATTTTGATCCCTGCTCCTTCGAATATCCGGCAGGTGAGTAATCGGAAGGAGAAAGTAAAAGGGAGGAAGGGAAATTGACTGGGTGGTTGCTGGGCATATTGTTGCTGTGCATATTGTTGTTGGGGAGGATAACCCTGAGGTGGATATTATCTCCACCGTAGTCGGCGTCTCCATCACTGGCGGCGAGGACGACTCGGTTGCCGTTAGCGAACTTTTCACATGATTCCCAATCGGAACCAAATTGGGCCAGCAGAAACCCGGGTCGGGTTTCAATTTAACGGAAGAAGAAGGGCTCCGGCTCATCTCCACCACTTCCCCTAACCCACCATCCTCGCCGCCGCCGCCGTGAAACCTGTTCAAAACGCAGCCCATGTAATTGCCGCCGAAGGAACCCTCCTCCTGTCGCTGCTGATGGAAATTGTACTGCAATTGATGATGCCATTTCAAGGAATCTGCCGTCGCCGTCGTCGGTGGGTTTAACAACGCGGTGGAGTCGGTTAGTGGAACAACTGGGAGTCAGGTGATGGTGGAGCTAAGCAAGAGGCTCTGTCCACGGCTGTTTCTCGCTACCGCTGAATTTTGGAAGGGAACTTCTGTCCATGGCTGCCCTGAACAGGGTATCACGGTGGTGTATAAGCATCTTTCGGGTAACCTAAAGTAAACAATAAGAAGAAGAAAAATTCAGAATTGGCATAATCGATTAAGAGGACAAGAACCCAGTTCACTAATACCCCAGCACAATTCGAAGGAGGAGGGATCAGAATCGCGGTGGCGTAGATGGCGGAGGCCATCTATTAAGTTTTATTTTTATTTTTTAATAGTTGTAAAATGAGGTGGAAATTGTAAATATTTAAATTTTATTATTTTAATAATTTTTTAATGGCCACGTCACTCATTTAACAGTCAACTATAATAGTTGACTGCCACATCAGCAAAAACTAACGGAGACTAACGGAGAGTGACCAAACTTGAACTATTGAACTAATCTTAGTGACCATGAATGGAATTAAATATTTGGAGTGACCAAACATGAACGTTTTTAGTAAATCCAGTGACCATCCTTGCAATTAACCCTAATAATTAACATCATTTTTTCAAAAAGCAATCCACCTTGCAAAAAAGTGGGCTAACATTTAGTGACCAACAGAAAATTCAGTCTATAAAAATGCGAAATTTCGTGACCAAACGCCGGATAAGGATGCCGGGAATAATGTGTGCCTACTGACTTGGTTTATTCTTTAGTGTATTGTGGACCAACCCGGCAGTTTAGCATCAAATAATTTCATTCCTAATTAATATTGATTTTAGCACCAAATAACTCGAATTGTTTAGAGATTTAATCATAAATCACATGTTGCTTAATTATTGACACATCAACAAATAAAATCTACTCATTTAAGTTTGAAATTTGTACAAATCTGAATATAATGTACGTAATTAACATTAACACAACCATCTACACTTTTTTTATTATTATTATAGAAAAAACATAGAACACCACACTAGCTAAGCTAATTTTCTTTCTTTCTTTCTATTTGCCGCACTAGTAAGGGCGTTTAGGGCAGCCTTGAGAGAAGCCGCCTCCTGTTCCTTCTCTTCAATCGACTTCCTCAGCAGCGCCTCCGTCTTCTCCATCACCTTCTCCTTCTCCTCCACCACCTTCTTCCACACACCACAAAACTTGCCATCTTCACCATCTTTACCGCTGCTTCCGTCCAAGGTCGGAGGCCCCATCAAAACGCCGCCGTTTCCCATGTCACATACGCTCCACACGTCGTCGCTACCGATTTCTGGCACCACCCCGTACTTGGACCAGCCGAAGTGGTCGTTGACTCTCAACCCCCTGAGTCCTTTCACCGTATTCACAGCCACGAAACAAAGACCCTGACGGTTGACCGCCAGACAAAGCGATGCCCTGCCGTCCTTACTACAGCCGACCTTCAAGTCCTCCACCAGCTCCTTCAATTGCTCGCCGCCGATCGTGACGCCGAACACCTCCAGCGCCTCGAACTTCGCCTCGGGGGAAGGGCCGACGACGGACGAATGGCCCCAGCTGCGGGAGTCGAGGTCGACCATCCCGAAATCGCGCGGGTCGCCAACGTACTCTACGACGTCAACGTCGGAGCACTCTTTCCGGTGGTCTCTGGTGATGAACTGTTTGTTGGACAGCAACTTCAATACCGACATTTTCACACACATTCGAGAAAAGCTAAGCTTAGACAGAGGGAGCCTTGAATTGTCATGATGAAGGGCTTATGTAGTTATGTATATAGATTATATATAGAGGTGTTATAACTTTTTATGTATAAAAAAATAATAAATAATAATTGGAGTTGTAGCTCACCCGGAAGATTCAGGGTTGGTATGAAAATTGCAATCGTTAAATAAATGTATTGTTATGAATGCGTGTTAATATTGTGGGTGTATCAATTTTTTTCCCGTCAATTCAAAAAAGAAATATATACCATTAAATAAAATTATGGAAAAAGTTTGGACAACCAGATCGCACCCAGTTTTCCCCTTATCTTGTTCAGTTGGAATCAATAATGTTCCTTTTATGACAGCGATCTTTTGTTCTCGATTCTGCTTCTGGAAACACTAACGAGAAGGAAATAATTGTGAACAATCGCTAAAGCTCTTATCCAATTTTTTTTCATATTCCTTTATATTATTCAAACATATCGAAATACTAAGAATTAGCCAAATGTTAACTTTCAGCTAGCAATTTTATTAATAATATTGACTTGGCAACATGATACTGACTTGCAAGAGACTCATGAATGTGAACATTCCAAAATGTTAGTATTTTAACTAAGAAAAGATTTACAAAATTATTAACAATACGTAAAAATAATTAATATTTTGATATTTGGATAAATAATAAAATTTTAATAAGTTTGGATAATATAAAAGAACCTAAAAAAAATTTGGATGAAAAATAAACGGTAATATGCTCGGTCTTTCTCAAGGTCAAGTGTCATCATTTGATTTTGATAGAAATTGGTGTACGTGTTGCCTTCTTTACAAAAAGGTGATGTTACTTATTTGCCCTTTAAAGTTTCACACTTTGCTTTATTGGAATGGTGATGATATCGTATGAACAGAACGACTGGCTGAGAAAGCTTATCCCTTGTATCTACAAACCACAAATGGGACGAATGACTATGGAGCAATGGGCAGTTGGCTAATGAGTGATGCTTCCGAATACATTTTATTTCAGACACTTATTCTGGGTGATTATATTTTACATGGCTTTATATAATGGGGAATATATCTAATAAGCACAATCAACAATTACAAATTTAAATTACAGTATTTCGATTGATGTCTGAATACGTCATTAATTACTCCGTCTTATTTATTGTGCCTTCTTGCGATACTTCTTGCGTTGACTGAATAATATGCCAGAAATACCTGCCAAACAAACATGTAAGAGCATTACATATAAAAATAGAGGAATTTTACAATTAATGCTTTAAAGCATTAACATATAGAAGAAGAAAAGGAAAAAAAAAAAAAGAATGTCGTCAATGGAATCTTTGAAAAGTTGTAATGCAACAAATTTAGGGTTTGATAATTCAACCTTAAATGAATCACATACTAAACAAATTTCGGGATTTCGCAAACCCTAGTTCATCGATCAAATGATACCATCTTCAAGATGTTAAATAAGTTTATAATGGAGCTCTATACCTAGTAAAAATCACTTGAAAAAGCAGTTCGTGTTACCTGTTTAATCAACTTGATCTTCGTCTTCATCACTTACATATTCCAAGGTGTCGGGGAGTTCTGGGTTCTTGTTAGTTAACTTAACACAATGATCAGAGTCGTCGAGAGTTTTCAAGCGAAACAGTTTCTTGTAGCTGGTTGTAGCTCTCAGGAGCTTTTCGCACTTGGCATATCTCAACGCGGAGAGACGTCGCAAATCCAAAACAGACGATGGTACCTCCTCAATCCCTGTTCCAGATAGATCAAGCTTCTCTAAGCTCGAGAGAATCCTGATTGTGTCAGGAATGCTTGATATACCCTGGCAATAGCTCAAGTCAAGTTCCAACAGTCCTTCCATGGACTGCAAGATCTCTGGAAACTCCGAAATGTTGGGGCAAGAGGAGCAGCTGAGTTTGGAGAGAAATGGTGCGGATTTGATCAGATAGGGAACTTGTTTGATCTGCGTCTTGTCCAAGTTTACTTCTTTCAAACTTGGGAAAGCTTGAGTTTGGTCACCTTTCGCATGATGTTGATCCAGGAAATTAGGGTTCAGGCTTCCACATGAGTTGAGAATTAGGGTTTGGAGCTTGGGAAGATATATGATGGAGTCATGAAGCTCATCTAGGCTTGTACAACTTTTGTGAGATCAATCACCTCGAGCTTTATGGACTTTGATAGGTCGGGTAACTTTATTAGGTACTTCGGCAAGGGCAAAACTGATGTTTCAAAGGATTGGTAAACTGACAAATCTTATTCAACGCATCTAACCAACAATAAGTACTGAGCTTCAGCCTACAAAACATGCTTCCACTAACAAGCCCTTAACCCACGACCCTTTAATTAAGATAACTACCTTGACAGTTAGCTACTGACTTGCTGCCTTTGACCTCAATCCACACAGGGACTTTACTGACTCAATTTACAAACTCAAGGACTCAACTGCAATAAACCAAACGACACAGTCTCAACTTAGACCAAGACTTCAAACATTCAAACCCTTCTGTTCTTCCCGCCTTCTGCTGCTACTCTTGCTGCCTTTTGCCGATGTGCTCAACCATGATTCCACCAACAAATCCTCCCCTGAACTGGAGCTCACCAGCAAAGCTTCAGTTCACCTCTTCAAGCCTTCATTTTCCACTCCTGAACTCCATCATATCCACCACTCCCAGTCCACTTCGCAGCAACTGAAAAGCTTCCAACTTCAATGCCTTTGTCATCACATCAGCAATCTGCTCATGTGTCCTGCAGTGCTTCAGCTCCACAATTCCTTCATTTGCCAGCTCCCTCAAATAATGAAACCTTACATCAATGTGTTTGCTACGTCCATGAAGAACAGGGTTCTTTGACAACTTGATTGCAGAGCTGCTGTCACACCAGATTGTTGTTGCAGCCTCCATGCTTTTAAGCCATCCCATCTGCTCAAGAATCTTTCTTAACCACACACACTGTGAAGCACAGTATGATGCAGCTACATACTCAGCCTCTGTGGTCGACAAAGTCACCACTGGTTGCTTCTTGGAAGCCCATGAGATTGCTCCTCCAGCAAGGAAGAAAACATACCCACTAGTACTTTTCCTGTCATCACAATCTCCTGCATAATCACTATCTGTGTAACCAATTAAGCAGTCATTCTCTTGCCCTTTTCTGTACCAAATCCCATGCTGCATGGTGCCTTTCAAATACCTCAGAATCCTCTTAGCTGCCAACATATGCTGTTTAGTTGGTGCTTCCATATACCTGCTTAACAGACACACAGAATGCATAACATCTGGTCTTGTGGCTGTGACATATAGAAGGCTGCCAATGAGTTGCTTATACTCAGTTGGATTAACTGGAATTCCATCACCATCTTTAGTTAACTTAGCTCCAGCCACCATTGGGTTGTGCACATGATTGCACTCACTCAAGTTAAATCTGTCCAGAATTTCTCTTATGTACTTCTGTTGACAGATGAAAATACCACTGTCAGTTTGATTGACTTCAACCCCCAGAAAGTATCTCATCTTCCCTAGATCTGTCATAGCAAACTCCTCCTTCATTGACTGCTTGAATTCCTCAATCATCACAGCACTGCTGCCAGTAAACATTAAGTCATCTACATACACACTTACCACCAAGAAATCAGATCCAGACCTTTTGACAAACAAGGTATGCTCATGTCTACTTCTCTCAAACCCAGCCTTCAAGAAATATGCTTCAATTCTGCTATACCATGCTCGTGGAGCCTGCTTCAACCCATAGAGAGCCTTCTTCAGTTTATAAACCTTATTTTCCTCCCCAGCAACCACAAATCCTTGTGGTTGCTCAACATAGACATCTTCAGAAAGCTCACCATAGAGGAAAGCACTCTTGACATCAAGCTGAAAAACTGGAAACCCATGATGAGCAGCTAAGGCCAGAATTGTTCTAATTGTATCCCACCTTGCCACAGGGGCAAAGACCTCTGTGTAGTCAATGCCTTGTTGTTGAGCATAACCCTTGACTACCAGCTTGGCCTTGTGCTTGTCAATCTTTCCATCCTCTTGTAACTTTGTCCTGTAAACCCACTTCAATCCAAGTGGAATGACATCTGGTGGGCAGTCGGTAAGTATCCATGTGTCATAATCTCTAATAGACATCATCTCTTGCCTCATAGCCTCATTCCACTTCTCATCAACTGCTGCTTCTTCAAATGTCAGAGGATCATCAGAAAGAGCAATCATAGCCCACCAATCTGTGTTAGCCCAGTTGCAGTCATAGATATTCAGGTATCCTGGTGGCTTTCTTACTCGATGTCCAAGCCCCAAGTTCCCTGGTGATGGCAAACCAAGGCTATCAGCAGACAGATCAGTATCTTCTTCTTCTTCCTCTTCTTCCTGATTACTTGAAGGGGTGATCACAGGAGTAGCTTGACTAGTTGACCCATCATTAGGTAGTTGAACTTCTTCTTCAGTATCAGAATCTAACCAGTTCCCATCCTCTCCTTCTAGAACCAGTTTTGTCACATCTTTCTGAGGCTCAGTCTCCCAGATCCAACCTTTGTCTTCATCAAAGACTACATCTCGACTAATCACTACCTTCTTTGTTGTAGGATTGTAGAGCTTGTAGGCCTTAGATTCATAAGACAGCCCCAGAAAGTTGCATTTTAAGCTTTTTGCATCCAGTTTCTTTCTGTTCTTATCATGGATGTGAGCATAGGCTACACAACCAAAGATCCTAAGATGCTCAACTGAAGGAGACTTACCAGACCAGAATTCATGTGGAGTCTTTTCTTCATTGGCTGCTGTTGGACTCCTGTTCAAACATAGGTGGTCCAGGCCACTGCTTCAGGCCAAAATTCAGCAGGAACTTTTGTATCAGCTAAGGAGCATCGAACCATATTCATTATGGTTCTGTTTTTCCTTTCTGCAACCCCATTTTGTTGGGGAGTAAGGGCAGCTGTAAGCTGCCTCCTCATGCCAGCTTCATCACACACATTTTTGAACTCTTGTAACAAGAATTCTCCCCCTCGGTCTGTTCTCAAACATTTGATGGTGCTGCCTGTCTCATTCTCTACCATGGCTTTGTATTTCTTAAATGCTTCTAGTGTTTCAGACTTAGCAGACAGAAAATAAACCCACAATTTTCTGCTCAAATCATCAGTGATGGTAAGTATATACCTTTTTCCTCCATTAGACTCAGGAGTGATAGGTCCACACAAGTCAGCATGAATGAGTTGCAGCTTCTGATTTGCTCTCCAGCTGCTCTTCTTTGGAAAGCTGTGTCTGTGTTGTTTGCCAATTTGACAAACTTCACAAACTCCCAGATCTCCATGCAACTGAGGGATGCCTTGAACCAGACCCTTTCTTTGAATTTCCAGCAGGCTTCTCTGATTCAAGTGACCATACCTTCTATGCCAGAGCTGCAAAGATGTTTGTAAACACATTATCTCTTCAGCCTGTGTTCTATTTCCATGTTCTGCACTTAGCACAAACATCCGGTTGGATTTCATGCTTGTCTGCATCAGAAACCCCTTTACTTCATGAAATATTTTGCAGACATCTTTCTTGATCAGAAACTCCAAACCTTTTTCCTGTAATTGACCAATACTTAGCAAGTTGGTCTGCAGATCAGGCACATAGAACACATCACTTATGACCATAGGAAATCCATCAACCAACAGTTTTACTGAACCCTTGCCAGCCACCTTCAACCTGTTGCCATTACCCAACTTCACATGACACTCAAAACCAGCATCCATAGAAATAAACCACTGTCGTTCCCCACTCATATGGTTACTACAGCCTGAGTCAAGAAACCACCAGCTTGGATTCTTCTCAGATTTCTGAGTTTCCAGGAAAGCCATCAAACCAGCATGCTCTCCTTCAATTTGAGCCATTAGCAGGAGCTCATCTCTTGCATCATCTTGTGATTTGTTGGATGAGTCAAAACTGGAATAATTAGCTTGCTGACTGAACCAATCAGGACACTCATTCCTGAAATGGCCCAGCTTATGACAGTGAAAACACTGCACAGCATCTCTGTTCCAGCCTCGAGCCCTTCCTCTTCCTCTTCCTTGACCAAAAAATCGACCACCACCTCTAGTGCCTCCCCTTCCTCTAAAAACATGTGTAGCTTTGAGGGCTTGATCCTCTTCTGCAGTCTGCCTTGTGAACTTTTGCTCATGCACAAGCAAATAGCTTTGCAAAGCTTCAACAGAAAGAGTATCTATGTCCTTGGACTCTTCAATGGCACAAACTATGTAGTTGAATCTTTCAGTCAAGGTTCTCAAAATTTTCTCAACAATTTTAACATCTGGCATTGCTTCCCCACAGTTTCTCATGTCATTGGCAACAACCATAACCCTTCCAAAGTAAGCAGATACAGTCTCACCTTCTTTCATGGCCAGAATCTCAAAGTTTCTTCTCAAAGCTTGAAGCTGTGCTTTCTGCACCCTCTCACTCCCTTGATACCTGACTTTCATAGAGTCCCAAAGCTGCTTAGCTGTGGCCTTTTGAGTGATTTGCTTCAGGATTGATTTGTCAATAGAACTGAACAGATAATTTTTGGCTTTGAGATCCCTCAAACGATTATCATCTAGATCCTTCTTCTGAACTGCTGACAATACTTCTCCTGGAGCTGGTTCCCTGAAACCATCACTTACAACAGACCAGTATTCCTTGGACCTCAGCAGGTTTTCCATCAGCAGACTCCAATGGTCATAATCTCCATCGAATTTTGGAAGACAGACCTGTGCAAAACTGCTCTCACTCATGTTTTCACTCACAAAACCTTGAAACAGTCTCTCTCTCGTATCTCTCGTGTTTCCCTGTCCCAGGATCAATATAAATTTCACTCAAATCACTCTTAATCTCGCAATTGTGGTTACAGTTTACTCTCTGCTCTGATACCACAATGATGTTTCAAAGGATTGGTAAACTGACAAATCTTATTCAACGCATCTAACCAACAATAAGTACTGAGCTTCAGCCTACAAAACAGGCTTCCACTAACAAGCCCTTAACCCACGACCCTTTAATTAAGATAACTACCTTGACAGTTAGCTACTGACTTGCTGCCTTTGACCTCAATCCACACAGGGACTTTACTGACTCAATTTACAAACTCAAGGACTCAACTGCAATAAACCAAACGACACAGTCTCAACTTAGACCAAGACTTCAAACATTCAAACCCTTCTGTTCTTCCCGCCTTCTGCTGCTACTCTTGCTACCTTTTGCTGATGTGCTCAACCATGATTCCACCAACAAAAACCGCTTCTTAAGCATGCGGTTTGTGTTGGAGAAACAAAACCGCTCCCTAAACATGTGGTTCTTCTAGGTCAGTAGGAATTAATTAAAGGGTCGTTTGGAAGTTGCGAATGTTAAATCGTTGCATTGTAATGAATCACAATAATGTAAATACATCTATTGGTGCAATTGATGCATTTCAATATATAATACATTGTTTGGTTGATGTGATTCTACATGATGTATTGACTTGCATAAAGTTACTTTATACGGAAATGTCACATTTACTCTCAACTTTTAGCACAAGACATAAAACTAATAGGGATATAGACAGAAAGAAAAAGTGGACACAAATCTAAAATAAACAATCACAACAAAATAAACTTTTAGTTGAGATTGTATAATGCATCATTTTTTGTGATTGTTGGTGGGACCAACCTTCAACAATGCATGCATTGTTTTACATTTTATTACTTCCAAACATTGTATTGTGCACAATATATGTATTCAATAAACACAAGTCTAACAATCACAACGACCCGTAAGTACATATACCACTTTATGATTCGATCAGTAGGTAGGAGATAAACATATAGAGTATGTATGTAATGTTACATATGGTCGATCTCAGTCCTTGTGCTCGTCGTGATCATGGAGGAGCAGGGATTTCATGAGCTTGTCCTTCTCTTCCTGGACCTTCTTCCAGCAGCTGTATATAGACGATGGGCTCATGTTATCCCGCCGGCGGTCCCCGTCATCAGAAAGAGCCGACGACGACGACGACGTAGTTGGTGTCGGAGGCCCCACCAAAACGGCGCCGTTATCCATGTCGGACACGCTCCACGCCGTGCTGGTCTCCGGTCTGACCCCGTACTTGGACCAACCGAAATGGTCATTGATCCTCAGCCGCTTGACCCTCCCCATTTCGTTGTCGATCTCCAGAAAGCAAAGCCCCCGGCGGTTGACCATGAGGTGAAACGTCTGGCCGTTGGAGCCGGTGATGGTCAGATCGTCGGCCAGCTCCCCCAACTGCTCGCCGTGAATCCTGACCCCCAACACTTTGAGCTTTCGGTAACATGAAGCGTCATCAGCGCTGACTTTGGCCCTCTCTTTCCAAGCAGTGGAGCGGGCAGCGTGGACCATCTCGAAGGCGTTTGGGTCGGCCTCCCCTTTGTACTCCAACACATGAATGGTCCGAGACCCTTTGAACGTTCGGATGAATTGTTGATCGTCCCACAAGACCCATAAATTGTTGCTCATCAGTCTTTCCCAAGCACCATCAACTTCAACAGCCGGAGCACGGTTTAGTATGTTGAAAATTTCCTGAGTTTGAGCCATCTTATATATATATATATATATATATATATAATCCTGTCACAACAAAATTAGCATACGCTGGCATATGCTAGCATGAAACATAAATATATATCCAAATGTATCTTTAATCTCATTTCGAAATGTCAATTGAAAGTGTTACGAGAATCAAGCCATCGTAACAATTAGGTCAGTTATTAGACTTGTATATCTTTATTAGTTTAGTATTAGTAGTTATTATTATTATTATTATTATTTATTGTTTTCCTTGTTCAAGTATAGAATTTGGTTTATTGTTCAGTCTTTAGTTGTTGTTTCCTTGTAGAAGGGGAAGTCATATTTTAGGTAGGAGAAATGAGTTGTTCTATGCCTATAAATATGTATTTGCTCATCAGTTTAATGATGTGTTGACAATTGGAATTACGACGACGAACGTTGCGTAAGAGTTTCTGCCGGAGAAATCCACGCAAGAGGAAGCATGTAAACTTATAACGTTGATCTCCTCAAGAATAAAAAGAAGAAAATCAATCGAACTACCAACCACATACATGTGTGACTATATATTGTTGATTGAATATACACGAACCTCAAACGGTGGAAGAGGAAATCCAAGTTGAAGAGGGAACGTACCTTCGGCAAAAACGAAAGTTGAAACGTAGGATGGAGATATTTTAGAGGAATGTTTAGTGAATTTTAATACACCCTTAATTGGGGTTTATATTTATAGAGAAATTACGGCGATTCACTTTAGCCGTCGATCTGATGGTCGGATTCGCTGGTATTGCTTGCTTACTCAACTTAGTTCAAACACAAGGATGGAATAGCGGGCTTTCTATCACAAGGCATTGCTTAATTTGGCGGGCGAATGGATGACTTTAACTGTCACGAAAAGCATAGTATTGTCCTAAGTTTTATTAGAATTATTAAGCCCCAAGTTTGCACAAATTTCGGGCACTGTTCATTAAGAAATTTTCGGAGGCCACTGTTCACAAAGGGATTTTGGAATCTGCTGCAGCCGTTTTTAAATGAGCCAGAGTTCATCAGGTTGGGTGGGGCAAGTGTGGCCATTGGGCTTACATACAAACAACCACACCCAGCGAATACCACTATTTCACTAAAAAAAACTAATACCCTTCTCTTTTTCCGTGCGTCCCCCTCTCTCCTCTTATTTTCCCCATTCACTCTCTTTCCCTATTGTGGACAAAAAAAAAAAAACCCAGAAAAAGATTTGTTTCCTCTCAAGTTAGGATGCTCAATACGATGGAGAAGAAGAAGAGCTTGCCCAGTCCAATGGAGAAGAAGAAGATCGAATAAGACCAACAAGAAGAAGACATACTACACGCTTCAGAGGGAAGAGATCATTGCGCAGACTTCCTCTCGGAAGGTGCTATCGCCGATGAGGCCATGGTGTGTGATTAGACGACTTAGAGAAAGAGGAACCAGGATATCATGGCTTGGGTTATCGGATCCGAACAAAGGATAGATCTTAGAGGCGTTCGATCTCAGGGGTCTGCAAGGAAAAGGTTGCGTCGATGGAGGATTTGGAAAATAAGTAAAGGAGGAGGAAAGGTGAGCTTGGATTTGCTTTCGGAAGGGCTAGGGTGTTCTTCTCGCTCCATCTTCTGCAACACTGAGATATTACTTCAAAAGGAGAAATAATCGGAGGTCAGTGTTGTTTCATGTATTGAGTTTTGGTGTTTGATGTGCATTGACTTGGGTATTCACGACTTCAATTGAAATATCAAAACTTGAATAGGGCATGACATTGCATTTGTTCTTGACTATTGACCTTTCAAAAACTAGACAACCGTTTCTTTCTGACAGAGCAAGACCAAAATTGGGTTTTCCATAACTTCTCTGCCATAGTTCTCTTAAATTACTATGCATAGGTGATTTGAATTGGTTTCCCTATAAAAGTGCGTTGTTGTTGTTGTATGCTACTGTGTCTATCCTTTGACTTGCTTTATCAAAATTTTCTTTCTTTACAATGATTCTCCAGCTGTCTTCACTAAATGCACTTTCACTCAATTATATAGGAAGTTTAGTGTCAATCTAAGCTTTTGAAGGATCCAGGACACAACATCCATTTAGGATCGGCAACTCTACTTCATTAACCAGACTGTTGGGAAAAGGGTAATTAGCAGAACCAAAGGGTAATCGGCAACTCTACTTCTTTACAATGATTCTCCAGCTGTCTTTGACTTGATTTATGATGCTATTATGCACTCTGCCTAGCGTACCCTACCCTCCATTCCTGTCATTGTGTAGATTATTTATTTCATAGATCACTGCAGATCAATGTAACCAGAATGTGATGGTCATGTTTGTTTCAATTAGAAGTAATCATAGATCATTATTTAAGATGAGTATTAACGCTGCAATGTGTTGCAGTACTATGTTTAACCACTAAATGTCTTTGCAGCTTTACTAGGCATTCTCATGTAAATTTGTTTCTTTTTTCTCTTTGCTAACACACCCGATCTTTGATTTGAAGAACTCACAACAACTTGCTTGCCTCATGTGCTTTAGATGGCAGTAGTATATTCTTTTCACCCATTAACTAAAAAGATTTCTTCTTTGCTGCAACAATAACAGTTGTTGAAGTAGTTCACCCTGCCCTTTTAACTTCCTTTGCGTTTGAGTTTGAGGACGAACTAATTTTAATGGAGATGGAGTCTTTCCCTTTGATTCCCCTGCTTCTAATTCTACCTATTTGCTTTAATTTTGACTACATGAGATACGATTGATATGCAGTTTTGATTATTTAATCCTAAGACTTTGTAGTCTGCGTCTGCCTCCTCATCCAAATGTGTTTGGTAGTTGGTTGTATAATTCCTTTCATGTTCCGCTTAATTCAAATTCAAAATTGACAATATAACATCTTCTGAATCAATAATGTTGCCCTTGGGAGTTTTGCTCTTCCCGTATGCAAAAGTAGTATTAGATTTGAAAGCCCATGTTATATTTCCTTTTCTTTTGTAATGGTAAAATAATTTTATTAATTAATAATACAAAATACCACCTCTACTGTTTTCTTAACTGCTCACTAACTTGACAGGTTCTCGGATAATTAAAAGAGCACCAGTAGGACTAGGACCTCATGAATTGCGTTGGCCCCATGTTACTTACTTTAGATATATTGGTCCTCCAATTCTCTTTGTTGTTTATGAATCAGTGGTCTTTTTGTTCTTGGTTGCAACTACGTACACGATGTGAATCTGTACTATTTAAGTTCATTGTCAAGCTGACTTTTTACTGCTCCTATTGCTTTGTGTTATCGTTCTCGCAATCTGTTTTGCTTTGCCATGGTTGCTTTTTAACTTTGCACCTCTCTATTAGAGGCTGATGTATTATGCAAGATTTCAGTCATCTACTGTTTATACACCTTGGAAGTTCGTTGACAATGATATAACTGATATCTATTTCCTTGCCTTCTGTAAAGTCTTTAGAGTTGTGACAAACAGTAAAAATGCATGCCCTGCGATTAAATTGTTTATATTGATTAATGCTGGGTGGGTGGTTGAACATCATTTGATGTTCACGTTTAGCAAAAAATACTTCCTCTTTTTCAATCTATTTCTCATATAACTTCCAGTTAGGTAATGTTTGCTTCAATGGTTGACTAGCTTTTGGTCTCATTTTGATACTCCTTTGTTATTTCTTTATTTGAAGAAGATAGATTTTCTCCATTTTAATTTCAGATCATTCAGCTACATACCTGTAAGTACGTTGATGAAAAACTTTAGTTTCAGGGAATGCTCATTTCATTAGCACGGATGAAGATTTGAAGAAGGAAGAACATGCAGAACAAGAACAGATAGGAAAGAAATTTAATCCAGTTAATTTCAACTTGAATGTTTTAATTATGAAACTATAATGCTGTATTTACATTTTTGTATTACTTAATCCATGTATAACTTGAGGTAGGACATACTTCCCCCTCTGCAGGTTCGTACAATTAGCTAGCAATTCCTTTTTACTTGATATTGTAGATCTATTTTTGGTAAACTTGATACTACAGATTCAAGTTATAGTGTTAGAAGGCATACAAATGTTACCTCTATTTTTATGAACTCTATTTATATATGATCATTGGTATCTCTTTTCTTAAACCACAAACAATGAGCTTTTGAACATTTAGATGTTGATGTAATTATTATTTCGATTGAAATACTACATCTGTTGTTTCTTTATTAGTTTCAGTTATTGTTTCTTTTTTTATTAATTCCATTCGTCAAGGTTGTGATGGAATAATGCTTAGTTTTCATAAGCATCTCATTTTAATACACAACACTTGGTTGACGGGAGATTTTTCACATTTGATTTATTCATTTCTTTATGGCCCAGTATAGTAAAGGAGCAACAAAATTGAAATACATGATAACTTATAGATCATTAGAAAGATAAACAATAGACATAGACACTAAAAAATCTAAACAAGCTGGAACAAATTATAAAACCAACGAAAAAATAACGTCTACCTTCGCTAAGATTAAAGTGTCTTTCCGCCGCAGAGCGCGGGCTAAAAAGCTAGTGAATTTAATAAGGAATGTAATTCTGTCCAATTAGTTAGCGGTACTCATAGTATATATAATCAGTGGCAGACTCAAGATTTTTGTGGAGTGTCGTGGATAAAATACGATAATAAAAAAATATTATATATTTAAATTAAATAAAAATATTTATATATTTAAATAAAAAATTCAAAAAACTTCATTCATAAAGTTCACAATGTCAGGTTTACAATGAAACGCGACGAATTTTCATATTCTGAAATGTTTGTAAAATACATTTGTAGCTTTTGTTGTAAATCGAACTTTTTTTTTAATATACACAACTACACAATCCTTCATAAATTGATCACTCAAGTGATTCCAAAAATCATTCTCTTGATTATCAATTATATTAAATAAGCTATGTACAAAAGTATTGGGAAAATGCCTAAAACCATATCGTTCAATTTTTTTCACTTCAACAAATTGAGCAAAAACAATATCACAATCTTCCACAAATCTATTTAATTCACCCATTAATTACAAAGTGACAAGTAAAATTCGGGAAAATTTGGAAAGGCAAATAGCCTAAAAGTGCTTTATTAGCGAGTACCAGTAGCCACTGAATTAAAGCATGGGTTGTTTTACGTTGTATGGAAATGAGATTTTAATTGTAATATGCAGCAAAATGACAATGAATTGTTCACTGTCCACCTGGTGTTTGTGAGTCAATGATGCAACGGACTCATAACACTTCACTTTAATTTGTCTACCATAGCCAAACTATGACTCACAACATTTTTTCCTTTAGTTTGTCTTTACTCTTTATCTTATCTTGCGTAGAACTTGATCTCCATTTCAGCATATTGAGGTTTTATTTCTTCATTATCTTGATTTTCTTTATAATAAAAAATTAATAGTATTATATTCTTCAAGCTCATCTATTCCACAAATAAAATTTATTTATTCATTAACAATTTCAGTAGCCGCAGCGCAGCGCGGGATACATAACTAGTGTAGTCTTTAATTCACATACACAATGAAGCTCCAGTGTCTTCCCACAAAATGATTGTTTTTAAAGCAAACTATAACACTCACAATTTCTTACAGACACTCAGTGGGTGAATTTATTTTACATGGCTTAATATAATGGGCAATATATCTAATAAGCACAATGAATAATTATAAATTTACATTACAGTATTTGGATTGATGTCTCCCAATAAGTCATTATTTACTCCTCATTTATTTATATATTTAATGTACAAGTGGTTCTTGTGCTTTCTTGCGATATTTCTTGAATTGGCTGAATAATATGCCGCAAATACCTGTTAAACAAACATGTAAGAGTATTACATAGAGGAATTTTACAATGTTTTAAAGCAGTGGTACTAAAAATATATGATATATAGAAGAAGAAAATTGGAAAAAAGAATGTCGTCAATGGAATCTTTGGAAACCCAACTTAACGTTGAAGTAGTAATGCAACAAATTTATTGTTTGATAATTCAACCTTCAATGAATCACATTCTAAACGAATTATGGGATTTCGCAAACCCTAGTTCATCGATCAAATGATACCATCTTCAAGATGTTAAATAATTTGATAATGGAGCCCTATATATATAGTTAAAATCTAAAAATCACTTGAAAAAGCCGTTCGATTTACCTGTTTAATCAACTTGATCTTCGTCTTTAATTATCACGTTGATATTCCAAGGTGTCGGGGAGTTCTGGGTTCTTGTTAGTTAACATAACACAATCAGAGTCGTCGAGAGTTTTCAAGCAATACAGTTTCTTGTAGCTGGTTGGAGCTCTCAGGAGCTTTTCGCACTTGGCATATCTCAACACGGAGAGACGTCGCAAATCCAAGACAGACGACGGTACCTCCTCAATCCCTGTTCCAGATAGATCAAGCTTCTCCAAGCTCGAGAGAATCCTGATTGTGTCAGGAATGCTTGATATACCCTTGCAATAGCTCAAGTCAAGTTCCAACAGTCCTTCCATGGACTGCAAGATCTCTGGGAACTCCGGAATGTTGGGGCAAGACGAGCAGCTGAGTTTGGAGAGAAGCGGTGCAGATTTGATCAGATATGGAACTTGTTTGATCCGCGTCTTGTCCAAGTTTACTTCTTTCAAACTTGGGAAAGCTTGAGTTTGGTCACCTTTCGCTTGATGTTGATCCAGGAAATTAGGGTTCAGGCTTCCACATGAGTTGAGAATTAGGGTTTGGAGCTTGGGAAGATATATGATGGAGTCATGAAGCTCATCTAGGCTTGTACAACTTGTGAGATCAATCACCTCGAGCTTTTTGGACTTTGATAGGTCGGGTAACTTTCTTAGGTACTTCGATGCAAAGAGATTAAGCTCTCTCAAATTTCCAAGATCCTGTAAGCAAATTGAGTGTATATGAAACATCGAATCATTTCATATTCTACGCTATATGTGTCATACTCTTACTTGTGAGTTGTAATTAAACAACTCTTTAACTTAAGTTACGGCTCGTCATTTTATAAGTAAGATGCAGTCATGCTTCATCCGAATAACTCAAGAGTGTTAAGTTCTGTACATACTTACCACATTATTGCTTTCCCATAGTTGTCGGATGTTGCTGTGTTTTAGCCTGAGTACATGGAGATAGCGAGGAGAAAACTCACAAGGCAAAGATGTGGCCGGAAATAAGTCCCACTCAAGAAGCCTCAGCTCGCCGGAGAGGGATTTAAGCTCCTCAGGAACAAACACTTTCTTACTTTGGCTTGAGAGTGGAAGGACATGGGCTGAGATGACACTCCTTTGCTTCGCCACTTGAATGGAAAGCAATCTCAGATTCATCATTCTCTCGAAAGTAGCTGAGCTTGCGCATACCTCTTCTTTAGTTTTACTCATATTCAGCAAGATGCCTTCTGTTGCTCCTGTTCCCTGGACAAGAGAAACAGTCAAACAGAAGTCATTAATTTCCGTAACTTTTTGTGCAAATTCTTTTATGGTACAATTTGAACTTGTACCTTTATATGGTACAACTTTAGGTTATAAAGTTGTACCATAACATAAAGGTACAAATTCTTTTATGGTACAACCTGAACTTATACATGTAACATTATGGTGCAACTTTAAGTTGTACATTAAGCACCGAAACTGTATAGCATAGTAGAAGTGTTCATATACTTTATGCAATTTCCTCATACTCGCGTACCATGTTTTTGTTGAGTAGGGTTTGTAAATCTTCGGCCTTCCACAACCTTGATCGTTTCTCGAGCATCCTTTCTTTCCTCACAATCTTCTTGCCTAGATCTTTCAACATGCCATGCATTTCTATCTCCCCCTTTGACCCATTAACGCAAAGAAGAGACTTGTCAACCAGATTCGAGACCAGATCCTCATCCAACACTCTGGTCACGAAATTATAGTCCTCGTGGTTGAAGAAGCAGGCAATGTCAAGGAACACACTTTGCTCCTCCACACTCAACCCATCATAACTAATCATCAACAGATTCTCAATCTCCTTATTGGGGATTTTCTTAAGCTTGTCCAATGCACAATCCCAGTATCCCGTCGACCTACCAAGCAAAGCCGCGCCCAAAACTGTTAGGGCTAGCGGGTGGCCACTTGCATAAGATACAATCTTCTTGCACCTCTCCATGAATTCACTCGGAGGTCGATCTTTTCTGAACGCATATGAACTCAAAAGTTGTAGGGCTTTATCGTCGTCGAGACCTTTGACTTGGTGCACTACCTGACAGCCGACGTTCTTGAGTACCTGCCGATCTGTGCTCGTCAGGATGATTCTACTTCCTGCTCGAAACAGATTGCATAATTTCCCATGAAGCAGCTCTTTCAGGGATCTTAAACTATCCATGGTCACATCGTCGACGACGACGAAGGATCTTACGCGGCCAACACGATCGAGTTTCAGATTGGTGGGCATGACGTGCGCTTGCTCGTCGTCGCCCAGCAACTTGTGGAAGAGTTCGTTCTGTAGATCGATCACCTGTGTCTTCTTCAGCTGGGCTGCGAAGTTTTCGATGAAATGGACTCCTTCGAATTTCTCCGCGTCTATTTTGTGGAACATAGCTTTGGCAAGAGTGGTCTTGCCAATGCCGGGCATGCCCCAAAACCCTATGACTCGGTTGTCGTTTTCGTCGTCGAAGCTCAACAGTTTCTCCACGTCTTGGATGTCTTGGTCTATGCCGACCAAACCTTCCATAATAGGAGAGAACGTTTGTCTGATTGCCCCGAGTATAGTTCTGGTAATTTCTTCAACAAGATGACGTTCAGGCCTAAAAGACGCAAGGAGTTGAAATGGTCACTAAAATAATGAGCAATGATTTATCTACCCAAGGAAATAGTAGCTAGAAAGCTTGATGTTTGGTTGGTATGCCACTTTTGTGACCAAAAACTTTAATGTCACCACGACTATTGCTGACCGTTAAGCGGGAGTGGTCACAAAATGGAAATGGAGAATAGACTGAATAGTTGATTGTTTAATAAGCAATATCCACTAGTAGAAATATCGGTGGGTTGGGAGGGGAGCGAATCTCCTCAATTATTTTTTAACGTGCTATATATCTTTCTTTTTAATCCAGAATTATATTAAAAAAATTATATGAAAACAATATAATTATTATTAATACTAATATCACTACAAGGAAAATGACCTATGGCAAGGGTTTAGCGGCAAGGGTTTAGGAACCGATGTTATGATTTTCGGAATACATTGTAGCAATGGTTTGTTTGTTGCATGTGTTTGGAAACCCCTGCTAGGCTTAAACTAAATTACTAAAGGAATGAGCTCGTTTAAAGCGATAGGAATTTTTGTAAATATAAAATACGAACTAGATAAAAAAAAAAAAATCAACGGATGAAGTCGATCCCGGTCTCCCTCCTCACTCGCTCCGGCTGAAATTCGATCCCGCTCTTCCTCTTCACTCGCTCCGGCTGAAATTCGATCCCGCTCCGGCTGAGATTCGATTCAGTCTCCCTCCGCACTTGATTTGACGTCGATTCGGTCTCCCTCGGCACTTGCTCCGGCTGAAAGTTTATGCGGCCTCTGTCCACACTAGCTCTGATTGAGAGGTGATTCTCTGATTTTCTCGCTCTCTCCTTCACTCGCTCTCTCTAGATTTGACGTTCTTAGGGATTGTAGTGCCAATGGCTGCATGCACTATACAATCTTAGGGATTGTAGTGCTGAATTCGAGCTCCTTATACTTTTGAATCTATCTCTTTTCTAAAGGATTCTAAACAATTCAGTTGACTTGATCGAATAGTTGTAGTATTGGACTTTGATATGGATTTTGACTATTACACTGTGATTTAGTTCATCGTCATGGTGTGCTTTTTCCTCACTATTGGTTTTATGCAGTTGGTGCTTAATTTTGTTACCTTCATACCACGAATCAATACCCTGCCCTGACTCTTACAATTCACTTCTCTCCAAGTAGCTCCCTCCATCTACGAAGCCAATAAAATGGTGGTAGGGTAGTGAGGGAAGAGACAAAGTGGGGCAAAGGGGAGGATTCTTGCTCTTATGTGATGGTTCCATCTATCATATCGATCTCAATGTATCCTTGCAAGGCCGAGGAAGGAAGGATGAAGCACACATATATACGTGCAGTTCTATGTTAGGAGGGCACTCCTCATCAGTGATTATTCACTACCATGGTCCAATCAGAAAGTATATAATATATGAACCTGGTTTTTATACAACTCGTTAAAGTCTCTCTGCATATGTACATTCTCCCCTGCTTCTACTTCTTATTATTCCTCTGGGTATCTAATGCAAGAGCGGAGAGATGGGGTTATTAGACTGTTAGAGAGCAAGTTCCAGTCATTGCAACTGAATATCTAGACGTGCATTTCATATAATTATTTCAAAACTATATTTAGATGTGTTATAATGTTCTGAATTTGTCTTCCTTCTGTTGTTTGCATTATGGCAGATGGTTTCAAGTTCGAGGAATCTAAGAAATTTGATACCTGGGTTATGAGAGCTACAACGAGGATTCCAAAGTTGTAAGGAGAAATGACTGAAATCATACCTGGGTTACAAGGATATATTCCTTCTAATTCTCGAACAGGAGTTCCTTATGTCATTCCAAAGTGAGTAGAAGAAAAACTTTAAAATCATTAGTGTTTCTGTCCATTCAATACTACTACCGATACTGAGGATGGTTCATTCGTTTTCTTAAAAAAGCATAATGTAATATGGTTTGTTACTAAAGCATGTGAAATAAATTTCAATTGCATTAGTTGTTACAATATCCCATTAAGCTTTACTCTAACATGGATGTTCCTATGCTGCAAGAATAAAGTTGCAGCTTGCGCTAAGCATTTTGTGGGAGATGGTGGAACAACCAAGGGCGTCAATGAAAACAATATGGTAATAGACAGGCTGTTAAGCATTCACATGTCTGCCAATCCTGACTCTCTGTGATCAAAGGCGTATCAATTGTCATTGTATCTTACTCCAGCTGGAATGGGAAAAAGATGCATGCTAACCGAGAGCTAGTAATGGGCTTCCTCAAGGGTACATGTCATTACATTCTCATGATTTTTTTAGCCACCATATCAGATTGATATACAATAGATGCTAATGTGGCATGCCTCTGGGCAGCAAGCTTTGTGGTATCCAAGATTCACATTTCATCTTACTGTGTGTCACAGGCTAGGCCTACATGACTAATATGATATCATGGCTCTGACTTCATTATGTTCTTGCTAACTGTACTTTCCCTTCCTGGATAATTTCTATGGGTTCGTTGTCTCAGATTGCCAAGGTATAGACAAGATTACCTCAAACCCGCATGCAAAACACATATACACTGTGCAAGCAGGGATCCTAGCTGGCATTGATATGGTTAGTAGTTTCGATTGTAGAAATATCACATGAGATTGATTCGCAGGGAAATGTTTTCAGTTATTTTTCATCAATTAATAGCAGGCGGAAGTGAATGATTTGCTAATGATGGTTCATTGTACCCAGGTCATGGTTCCCTACAACCATACAGAGTTGTTTGATGATCTTACTCTCTTAGTAAAGAAAAATGTCATTCTAATGGATTGAGTTGAAGATGTTGTTGGAAGGATTTTGCTGGTTAAGTTCAATCTGGGTCTATTTGGAAATCCTATGGCTGACCCGAGCTTTGTCAATGAACTTGCAAGCCAGGTTGGTGAATCACATGAACACTTATACCCCCATAAATAGGATAAACTGTACCACATCACTTTATTTTCAGTGTCTGTATCATGCACAGTTGAATTTAGCTCAATTTTCTTCCATCATTGGACTTGGTTCAAGAGTGTTGATCAGATGCCAATCAACCTTGGAGATGCGCATTACGACTGTTCGAATATGGGCTCAAGACAGAGGCGTTAAATGGCTCCATCGCAAGGTAGGTAAATATTCCATCACTACATGCCTGCCTCATTTCCGAACGGGTTAGTGCCAAAGTAGCTTAATGTTCACTAGATAATTAGCTCGTGCATGTGATTGGCAATCCGTAAATTTGTGATACAATATTATCATGATTTAGTTCACTTTAAGGATTCTGGTATGGGCATTATGTGTTTCTAGTTAGTCAGCTTCGAAGATGCAAGCTACTGGTATTCTGGTGTAGTAGACTTTCAAGGCGAGAACTTGTCTGCATTTTGGACATATTTGTGCTTTAATATGTAGAATTGTGGACTATCTTAAATTGGTCAAATTTAGCTTGTTTACTACAGATTTGGAACACTTACGACAGGGGATGGTTACATCTCTCGTGAAGGAATGACCTTAGTTTATTCTGGAACATTGCAGCTGGAAAAAATGCAGCAAGAGTTCTAATTGTTTGAATCCATTTTGTAGCATATGGCCCTGGGATGTGATGTGCAATAAACAACTGAGGGCTCTTGTCGGATTTGAGATATCATAATAAGAATATTACAATTTATTGAATTTTTTTTGTTTTCGTTTACTATTTATTTGATGTTGAACCATTAGAGAAGTTAATTGTATGGATATGGTGTGATTGAATATCATAATAAGAATATTTCAATTTATTGAAGTATTATTGTTTCTATTTACAATTTATTTGGTGTTGAACCATTAGGAAACTCAATTTGTGTTTCTCTCATTTGGAATGAACAAAGAAAACCCAATATGAGTTAACATATAGTGACGGGAATATCCTGACATTAGTGACGGAATGTCTTCGCTTTAGTAACATTCCCAATCCGAGTTCACATATAATGACGGAAATATCCTGACATTAGTGACGGAAAGTCTTCGCTTTAGTAACAGGAATGTCGTCCCGAAAGATTTTAATGTAGCAAGGGTTCAAATCCCTTGCTAAATGTAAGTTAAGTGACCATAATCCCTTTCAATTGTAGTTACGTATAACGAGGGTTTTAAACCCATGCTAACGTAGCAAGGGTTCAAAACCCTTGGTATAACCCTTGCATAGGACTTCCACCAAGGGTCACTCAAAACCCTTGCTACACATAGCAGGGGCAGCTTTGCCAAGGGTTCGTCCAAGGGTTCGTAAAACCTTTGCTAGATCTTGTAGCAAGGGTTTAAACCCTTGCTATAGGCAAAAATAACCCTTGCCATAGACCCTTTTTTTTGTAGTGTATATATGTTGTCTGTATACCATGGTGGTAATGCATGCTAGTATACATAAGACTGTACCATTGAGATATGGAAATGTACACGATGACGACGGTAAGAGTATACTATGGTCTAGAATGACAATATACATGATAATTGGAAAAATACTAACCACCATTTATCATATTTTACCATGGTCTATCATCACTTCATCAGTTACCACGATAGATCATGGTGAGCCCGTTTATTTCCGCGCAGATTTTGAGTTAAAAACAATGACGGTGCAGAGTGGTAACCACCATTTATCAATATTAGTGATTTTCCTTTTACCATTCATTAGTTTCAAATTAGATTAAATAGAAAAACAAAGTCATTTCAATGGTAAAAAAAAACCCGGCATAATTAAAAGGAATGGTTTACATACTTGGTGACTAGGGAATCAAACCCTGAAATGTTGGCCGCCTGCTTGAGAGCAGCCGTCCAGGTTTTGAGTTTGGCCTCCATCTCTTTACTGGGAAGCTTCTTCTCATATTCAGTAAACGCATCTCCGTAGCTTCCTTTCCGGTTCCTCACATGGGAAGGTGTCACCCCGCCGTAAAACACCGGCACCACCTTCCGCTCGTATTTGCGCGAGCACTCCAAAATCTTGACAAGCTCGTCGAGGCACCAGTCCGAATCCGCGTAATTCGGGGAGAAGATCACGACGTACGACGAGGATCTCTCGATCGCATCGATGAGCGTGGGCGAGATTTTGTCTCCTCGTTTGAGATTCACGTCGTCCTTGAAGGTGAGGACGTGTCTTTCGTCGTTCATGTGAGCGAAGAGGTGGCTTAGGAAAGTTTGCCTGACGTCGGTTCCTCTGAAACTGATGAATGCATCGTACTTGCATGAAGGGTTTGTGTTTTCATTATCTGGAGGAGGAGGAGCAGCAGCAGGAGGAGAAGGATCAGGAGTAGGAACTACTGTCTCTTCTTTGTTGCTAATAAGATTAGCACGAGGAGGTGGAGGAGGATCCTGATCAGCAGGACGAACTACAATACGACCACGAGAAGGAGGCTTAGGAGGCACACTACAAATCGTCCAATTAGGACCTGGAAGAAGGCGACCACGAGGTGGAGGAGGTCGAGGTTCAAATGTTCTCGTCAAAGGATTAACGAGTAGACGACCACGAGGAGGAGGAGGAGGAGGAGGAGGTTGTGGTGGTGAATCCTGACTCATGGGATATGAAGGAGAAAGACTGTGAAGAAGAGGAGGATTGGTGGGATGGATGGTTGAAGAAGCCAAAGGACAAGAAGTATGGAGTGCAAGAAAGAAGGTTTTTTTTTTTCCTTTAGAGAAATGTAGTTGCTCGAGGATGTCTATCCCCTACTTATATAGGTGCTCGCAAGTAAAGGAACACGATCCTTTAATTTGATGGCAAGTATGAAATAAAGAACATTACCTTTGCTTTTAACTCTAGTTTCAATTGAGAACATCAATAGAGAAAGTGCATGGTGGAATTGTTTTTGTTACCCAACTCTTTTGATGGGTAATTCTTTTCCAACTTCGAACGCCAAGAATTACTTGCAATTGCCTGTGGAAACAAGCGAGGCATATAGTAATAGTACTTACCCAAACATTCTTTTCTATCTAATCAAACAAATTAATCGTAAGGTATGCACTGAACTCGATCGAAAGTTGAAAGTGACAAATTTTCGATATTCGCGTCATATATGGGAGGGAGAGTGTAACCAAAGCAAAAGTCTATTAATCTATTGAGCATCGGTTTGGATGAATTCTTTTTGGATTAATTTTTGCAGATTTCAAAATGTACTATCATATATTTCGAATGATTTTTTCGAAAGACTATTTTCTTTTGATTTTGAAAGTTACAGATCACGGATTCCCCCAAACTATTTTGTACTAATGATAAAGTCTGTTAATATCCGATTTGAGCGATTTTGAATTTGAAGATTACGTATCACAAATCCGTCATGCGGCTATTTCCTCCGATGATTTAGTCATTTAATCACCGATTGGGGAGGATTTTTATTTTGGGCAATTTTTCGGCAGATTTCAAAGGTGTACCATCACATATTTCGAGTGATTTTTCCAAAAGACAATTTTTCTCGAATTTTCAAAGCTACAGATCACGGATTCGCCCTGAGGCAATTCTTCACCGATGATTAATTCTATCAAGCACAAATTCGGGCGGATTTTTCCCAGGACCATTTTTGGCAGATTCTAAAGGGTACCATCAATGATTTCGGATGATTTTTTCGAAAGGTCATTTTCTTTGTATTTTGATAACTACAGATCACTTATTTAGCCTAAGGCTAATCTCCACCAATGATAAGGTGTATTAATTGCCGATTTGGTGATATTTTTTTAGAGGACATTTTTTTTAACTTTTGGGAAATATTATGAAATGTCATTTTTTTTTATTTTGAAGGCTACAGATTACAGATTCGGCCAGAGTCTATTCTTCACCAATGATTAATTCTATTAAGCAACTATTTCTACACAGTTTTTTACAAGGCCCTTTTTGGCATATTCAAAAAGGAGTACTATCACATATTTCGATCAATTTTTTAGAAATGCCATTTACTTGCATTTTGAAGTCTACATATTACGGATTCAGCCCGATGCTATTCTCCACCAATGATAAAGTCTGTTAATCGCCGAAAGTGCCTCTCTCTAAACCTACATGAGCAACCTTTTCTGTCCGCCCTACTACACACCAACAACTATCTGTTTTCCGGCGAGAAAACCTGCGTTAAATAAAATTGATTGCACCTTTGACTTCTAAGAAATGATTACTAAGACACTGTTCAAATCTCATCAAACACAGTTTGAACGAGGGTTTTTGATTGATGAAATTTATGGGAATGAAAACTAAATTAAGTTACTCCTACTCCTATGGAGGTTCAGCGAGAGCTCCAAACTACGACTATGGCTACATTTGCAGAGAAAGGATAAAAACTTGACCTAGGAGTCAGTTGTGTGGTTTTGGGAACCATTCTCTCAGTTGACCCTCCTTCCTATTTACAGCCATTGAGAGATAACCGTCCTAGAAAACTGCCTCCTGGATAACTCCCAAAAAGAACCGCTCCCTAATTCCTCGGACATGGTGGTTAGTCCTTCAACCGCCTTGGTGCCTCTCTTGAACTGTTGTGAGTCTTGGAGTGTGTCTTGCCTGATATGGTCTTGTTCCAGTGATATAATGCTTCATCACCACGCCCTTCTCATTCGTGGTCATGGCCCCTCTCGTGAGGGGGCATGGACTTCTCAATCATGCACATGGCCCCTCTCGTGAGGCGACATGTCCTTCCCAATGGCACGACCTCCTACGAGAGGCTCATGTACGTCCCTCATTGAATCATGTCCATGCTCACTATGACGTAGTGACTTGGGCTTAAAATCAATATTCGTAATGCCCAACTTAAATGACATTATTTATAATAATTAATGTGACCCGATAAATTTATTAATTATCTTGCAACTCACCAATTTGGTACGAGACAAATTTTTGCACTACCTTAATAGACTAATTACCAGGGAGGAAAACAGCGGTCATGATAAGTCAAATTTTATTTATTTCAGAGGAGAGAAGAATTCAATCCCCATTCTCGATCTCGTACGGGAAGTTATATATACTATGACGTACAAATATGCAGGCTGCATGCATGGAATTATAGAAACCGCTGCACACAGGCATGGAATTGGTGTCCAAATTAGTAATCACCACTCAGTGTCGTCACCACAGCCTTAAGAGCGATCACCTCTTTCTCCTTCTCTTCAAGCGACTTCCTCAACAACGACTCCTTCTCCTCCGTCACCTTCTCCTTCTCCTTCATAACCCTCTCCTTCTCCTCCATCACCTTCTCCTTCTCCTCCACTACCTTCTTCCAGCTCTCGTTCAACGCCGAATACTTTTCACCGCCACCAGCAGCAGTACCATCATTAGCCGGCGGAGCCACCAAAACGGCACCGCTGCTCATGTCCCACACGCTCCACACCGTGCTGATCCGTGGCTTCACCCCGTACTTGGACCAGCCGAAGCGGTCGTTGATCCTCAGCCGCATGATCGGCTGGCTCGCCACGTACACGAAGCAGAGGCCCTGGCGGTTGACGATGAGGTGAAACGTCTGGCCGCTCCGGTCGGTGAGGGTCAGGTCCTTGGCCAGCTCCGTCAGCTTGTCGCCTCCGATCGTCACGCCGGAGACCTCCAGCGCCTTGTACGAGGCCGTGATGGTAGGGCCCACGGCGGTCGGAGAACTCCAGCGGGAGTTGCTGGCGTGGATAATCTCGAAGACGTTGGGGTCATCCATGTAATCGTAGACGAAGATGTTGGTAGGGTAACCTTTGAAGCTTCGGATGAACTGGTTGTCGGAGTTCAATTTCAACACCGACATTATTTTGTTAAATCTTTTTAGTTTTGTGGAGTTAGGAATATGGTTGGGGGATGAAATTTGCTTGATTTTGCTATATTTATAGGTGTTAGCGGTGCAGGTATTCTGGGGAATGTGACGGCATCAAGCTAAGTCATCTTGACCTTTGTCTTGCCTATACGTTTTGAATATCTCGGAAACTTCATCACCGATGTGACGAAAAGAAGAGCCTCGATGATGTTCGATCAATGTCGTTCTCATATACGGAGTCTTTGGTCCTAAGGTTTTTAATTTGATACTTTTACCTCTTATGCTTCTTTTCTTGAATTGATACTTTGACTTCTTGTTTGGTAGAGAGAGTGCCTTGAAACCCATAGTTAGGTCTCATATCAAAAAGATCTAAAGTTTTTTTTTATATTTTGATACTTAAACTTTTACAAATTTACAAACAGGTCCAATGTTATGATATGCTTTAAGGAACTTGTGGTATGTTTTACGAAATTTGTGGTATGGTTAGATAAAATTGTGCTATATTTTGGGTAGAGATATTATAAGCTTTGGAGACACATATATTTGCCTCTTTACAAAATTACATTAGACACAAACCATTCATTTAAAAAATAATAAGAATAAGTAATAATGCAAATTGATCTGAAAGATTGACAAGCCCTTGATAGAGGAAATCACACTATGTATTGGTAGATGATTAAATCCAATATGTCCAGGCTTTTAGGGCTAATTCCACTAGAAAGTTCAAACCATCCAAAAAGTGTCGTTTATGTCACAAACTATTTAATATGACAAATCTGGAACAAATTATATGCGTTTTGTGACATTTGTGTCATAAACTATTCAATTATCACAAGTTTGGCACAAACCACATGGAAGCTAAGTAGATTTTCTATTAAATACTAGATTAATTTAGAATACAAATAACACTTTTTAAATAGTTTTTGACTTCCCAGTGAAATTATCCCTTTCTCTTATAGGCTCGTATTAGTGCATTATTGGAATATTGTAATGCTTGAAATTTAATTAATGCAAATTGGGTCATGTAAAATATGTTCACCAGTCTTTAATTTAATTAGCTCGTGGCCAGCTTTCTGTGGAGTGGGTTAGAGATAATCCCTTCCATGCACGCCTTGTTTAAACATTTTATATACATGCATAAGCATTCTTTCGTTGACTTTCTTGGAGCAATTCAAGATCAACTGAAGTGTAAAATCTCAGTATTCTAGGGTGCATTATACTAATGATGATAGATTTTTTTCCAAGCCAATCTGCATTTATTTAAGGACAAATTCCACTACAAAACCGTAACCATCCAAACAAAATGTCAACTCTCTCTCTTACAACCTCGCTGGGGTTCGGGTGTTTCAAGGTTGGGAAGGTTTTTCTCCTCCCATCACTTCCCCGGAGGATGAGGTCCCTAATCCGAAATTCTCGGCCACTTATTACCTCAACAACTTACCTATAGGAATTGTCATACCGGTTAAAAAAAAAAAGTTAATTACCACCCTCCACACTGTTAAATCTTGAACTACCTGCGTCATACTACTGTCATGTCATGATTCTGTCTCGATACATGCAGGGGGACTACACGCTTGTGGTGATAATTCATGCTTCCGGCGGTCCTGCTTTGATTTGTGTCTGCACCACCATCACTGTCATTTTGGTGCTCTAACTAGCTACTGACGACCATCGTCGAGATTCGGCCGGCGGTGGCTCTCTATATCCGTCCCTTTCATTAATTCATCGGAGCTGCTGGGCCTACAACAAGCTTATTACTTTCTGCACTACTACTGCCGCCTATAGATAAGATATATAAAACCAAGCCATTAGCTGATAATGGTTGTCGAGCGATTTTTGATTCGGGTGGATGTCTGGTGCAGGATCAGGACTCCGGGAAGATAGTGGGTAATGGACGAAAGGCTGGTCGGACGTTTCTCCTGGAAGATCAGATCTATGCTTTCATTTGCCAATAAACAGTTCTTAGTAGGATTGTTCCGCAATCATACAGTATAGGGGACTAAGTTCTATGGTTCTTACAGCATCTTTGAACTTGAAGACTGCTGCTTTTGAGAGTACACATTCTGGAGATGTTGCAAAGGGGCAATGGTTCCACTGGTCTTCACTTTCACATAACCATTATCAACAATCTGCCAAGCACAAATTGTTAGCACAGCTAGCAAACTCATTGCATTTATTTCAACCATCAGCAGATACTGGAAACCCTCAATCGAAATTACCTTGCCGAAAATCTGAGAAGAGCTCGTAAGCGCGGTACAATTAATGGACAGTACCTCTGGAGGCTCAAACCCACCCTAACAAAAGAGAAAGGACTCTTAACTGAGATTGAAGTTGAATAAAACAGTTAACTTGCATTCAAAATTTTCAATTGGCACAGTGCAGCATTCTATCCTTACATCTCTGGCCCATTCAATCAGCTGATTCGAAACTTTCTCCATTGACAAACTCTTCCCTGTCCCAGGGCATCCGCACACATACAAGCTCCCAGATTGTTCCTTCTCAACACAAGCCTTACAGAAATCAAACACTCTTCTCTGCTCTTCTTCGCGACAAACAATCGTTGGTGGAGATGTTGAAACGTGCAACGCCTCCTTCACCGCGCTCACTTGGGATGCATCTACCGAACCAATTGTACAAAATTTAACAATCAGCTCAATTGAGAAATGAAAAAATAGTAATCAAGAATAAAACCAACTAGCTATCTCTTTCTCACTCTCTCACCACTAGGATTCCAGTTCAGTTTCTTAGAGAAATCCTCGCTCAATTCCTCAGCAAGCGATTTCGATGAGTTCGAAATCGGTCCAATTGAATCGTTCCTTGTTGACTACACAGCGAGAGAAAAATCAGATCAGATACCTTTAGCCGTAACTCCACTTATGGAGCGAGGAGAAGAAGAAAACTCACGACGGTAGGATGAGAAGAGGGAGAGGACTCGAGACATCGGCGGGGCGACTTCCGCTTCGTCGGAGCAGATATCGGGGTTTCCGGCGCCGCCGTGGAGTTGGATCTCAGTCTTCGCTTCTGAGGAGTAAGCGATTCTTCTGCGGATCGGGAAACGGCGAGAGAAGGCATTGCTTTTCCGGATTGAAGATTTTTCCGACTGATTCAAAATCGGCAATTGAGAGGATAATTTGTTACTGCAGGTGAGAACTGAGAAGAGTGATTTGAAGTTGAGAATTAGGGGAAAAATAGGTACAGATATGGAAAGGGAAAGAGGTTTTCTTCGCGGCAAAATGTGTCCGTAGGGAATTGATCTCCCGCCTCCAAATTTGCGCCCAACTCAAACGTCGTTGGCGCCACATTTTTGGGCTTCTGGCCGTCTTTTCCTTTTGGTCGATTGAACTCATCTTTCGGGATTATCCTTTATGGGCCGAAAATTTTGAAGTCTGGACTCTCAATTATTTGGGCCGGATATTGGGCTTTTATCTCTAATATGCAGTTTAAAACTCAGAACTACTAATTCCAGTTTGCAGTATAATTACAGTTCAAGCAAAGCTGGCAAGCAGCAAATCAATCATATCACCATTTGGTATTTGGTTATGAAAGGCAAAATTTTTAGATCCAAATACCAAATCAACTAAATTAATGTAAAGAATCAACTAAACAAAACAAAGGTTATCTTTCAAATACAAAATGCAACAAATCAATCATAAATTTAAAGGTTTTCAAAATTCAAAACCTTCATTTTTAAATCCAATGAGAAAACGCGAGCCCAGTATGTAGTGCTGATCTAACCAAGTCAATCCAAATAAAGCTTGTCAACATAATCTAGACGAAAAGTTTTTCATGGACCAAAACATGCATGCACCATTATCATAGGACGTACTCTACATTAAAACCTTCTAATCATGCATGAATCATAATTAAGCAAGCATAAGGATGCATGCCATTGTTCTCTATAAATAAATTAATCCGCTTCATAGGTAATTAAGGAGAAGTACATGAAAGAACATGCATCTTTCTAATCCATTCTCATTCGGAATTTCAACCCCCCACCAATCTCCAATCACTCCCGGCTTTCCATTGACTCCGAGTTATGGAGTTGTTGGATATGTCACAGTCAATCTTAACTATTTGTGCTAACTTTGAAAAAAAAAAAAAACAGCAAACATGTTGATGATGAACTTATGGACCATACAGCTACTAGCCGTGTGGGCAATGATCTAGCTGACGACGGAGCGAATCCTATCGGATCGATATTTCGATTGAATGAAAAAAATGGGTCGAAATTGAACTTGGATCGGACCGACTCGAATCAAACTTCTTTGGTTCGGTTCCAGATCTCTTTTTTTTTTCCTGCGTTTTTTATCCGGTCCTATCTCAAGCTTTGGACTGAAAGGAGGAACATGTGACATCGCAAATCATCAGGAGTTCCTGTTTAAGGCGAGGAGAAAGACCATTAGCGCTTCATTTTGTAGGTTACAAAGCTCATTCCGGACAAGGAATTAATGCACAATGATAAAACTGTACATGTCTGAAATTTGTTGCTCTATTTCAAATTTCCTGCTGCTACGTACGAGAGCGAAACTGGAAAGCAAGAAGATGTATTAGTAATTAATCATGAGCATATGTGTCTTTCATATTTTTCCATAACTAGATCAGATGAGATATTTGGATCAAGCCTTCTTTCATTTATCGAGCAGTGTCGTTACAAATCATCAAATTGTTCTGAATTAGGATACGAGATAATAAATGAGTTGAGTCGGCTGAAATCATATTGGGTAGTAGTTCATATATTGAATGATGGACGATATAGTTAAAGCCTCTGGTCCACTCCTACAACAAGGTCACCAGTGCTCCGGCTGTCGCTGCTGCAAGGCAACCAAACCTCTCATCACTTCGTTTTTTTCTTTCTTTCATCATGAGGAGGCTATAGGTCAAAGAAAGTTACAGGAAATGTGATCTTAAAAAGATACGACGAAATAAGGCTCTGATACCATGTCAAAATAATCAAAAAGAAAAAAAAGAACATAATAACTTTTTTAACGTGGTTTCGTCAATATGACACTAATCCACGGAGATGATCATCTCCCTCACTCAGGTTTTAGGTTTTCTTATTTCGTTACCCAAAGAGTACAGATGGCAACGATATAAATAGGTTGTAATTACAACCCTAATTTCGAATGGCTATTTACAACATGGTACCTATAATTAACAATTCATTGGCCTTTGATCCATGGCATGGGGAGGGTGGTGTTTGGTTCATCTAAGGGATGCACGTGGTGGTCCATTTCAGTAGACAAGGCTTTGACGGAAAAAAAAACATTATCATAATTGTCTAGAAATTATCATTATTTTTCTTTAACATATATTATATTTAGCATACAAATATAATATTTTTTATGAAATTGTGTTGCTTTAATTAATTTTCTTCTTATAGTGATTTAATGCCGTACTTTCCTCTTATGTAATGTGAGTATACGTTGGAATGTTAACATAATGGTTGGAGTTATAAAGAGAAATTATTAGTCATGGATAATCGTGGATACCTTAAACCCGAACGGGTATGGACATAATTTTCGACCCCATTCTTATGTGGGTATAGGTAAGGGTAAAAACCAAACTACGTTGGGTAAGGTAACGGATATGCACTATCCGCCCCCGACCCGTTGTCATCTCTAGTGAGCACCATCACCGATGAGTTTCTGAGCAGGAGCTAAGATAATACCATCAATGTACATAGCTGATTAACAAGGTCGAGTCTGCGAAGGAGCGAAAGCAGTTGAGCATGCCATGACAGTAAGTTGGCAACAGTAATGTCAAGCGGTAAGGAAGCAACTGGAATGAACATGAGCTTGTTGTTGACAATACCAGTTGATCTCAATAACTCAAATTGTTGAGAAAAGTTCAATCGTGGATCATATACCGTTTACTAACATATCATGTGCTTCACAAACAGGGTCACCGGAATTCGAACACAAGACATTTCGCGGTCACAGAAGGCTCTGATACCATATCAAAAACCGGTTGATCCCAATAGCTCGAGTTGTTAGAAAAAGATTCAATCGTCAATCATATATATACCATTTACCAACCTATGTACAATGTCGTTTCATTTGAGCTCACGTCTTATATATAAGCTTGTTGACTCTTATTATGTACAATGTCCTCTGTTCTTTCCATTACATTCACTCGCCTTTGTCCTTCATACTTTACATATATAGGCTGAAAGAGTCTGGTCTATATTTCACGCTTGATAGTCCAAGACAGCCTTTTTTGGGGACCATCTCGTCGTGGTCGTGGACTTGTGGTAGTTCACCGTCCACGGTGCATGCCGGCCACTGTACGTGGTCCTTCTTCCAGCAAAGAAAAGAGTGGTAGGTACTGAATTATGCTAGCTCCGGAATTTTCATGGTATATGTCATATTGGGCTGTCTATATAAGCCTGCAGCGCCAGCACTTGTGATATAAACCAAACATTAGAGAGCCATACCTTGGTAATAATCTCTATTTCCAGAAGAAGAAGAAGAAGTGTGTTCTCGGGAATGGAGGTTGGAGGTTCTCTTCCTGTTCCCAATGTTCAACAGCTTGCTTCGAGATCCGAGGGTGTGCCCGTTAGGTACATACGTCCTGAACTCGAGCTCGAACGAGTTTCTAATGGCGAGTACGATCGAATTCCACTGATCGATATGAGCAAGCTGAATGATGTTCGTGATGATGAGGCCGCTAAACTGCATTCGGCTTGTAAGGATTGGGGATTCTTCCAGGTATGACTCGTGATCAAAATCCTTGATATTTTTTTTTTCTGTTACCAAGTTAGCAACCGGCCATTCAAATGGATATTATTCTACTTGATTAAAACTAGAGATTGATATTTATGTCAAAATGTAGGTGATCAATCATGGGGTTGCCGAAGAGGTGATCTTGAAAATGAAGGCGGATATTCAAGAGTTTTTCAGCCAACCATTGGAAGAGAAAATGGAATATGCACAACTGCCAAATGGGATTGAAGGATACGGCCAAGCTTTCGTTGTATCGGAAGAGCAGAAACTTGATTGGGGTGATATGTTATACATCAATGCACAACCTATTAATCGAAGAAACATGAGGTTGTGGCCATCTTCATTAAGGTTTGTTCCCTTTCCATCACTTATTCAAATGAATATATACATGTCATACGTAAATTAGCATATGTTTCTAAGTTGACCACTTTAAATTGTCTCATGTTCTAAAAAATGAACCGGGTTTAATTATTCTTAATCAGAAATCCATCATAATTGTTAGTTTTTCTAATTGCCTTAAATTGGTAAATCATAGTGTATAGATTGGATCATGATATAGTCTTATCAAGATTCTTAACAATTTTTCCACCATTAAACCTTAGCTAGACTAAGAACATCAATTCTCATATAGCTTCATAAAACCCATATTAAATCTAAACTCGTTGCTTTCTCTATCACTCACTAACCAAACGTTCTGGCTTGTCCTTCTTCCATCAGGGCATCTCTCGACCAGTATTCAATAGAACTGGAAAAGGTGGCTCAAAGCTTGATGATTTCCATGGCTAAGAACCTTGGAGTGGAGCCCGAAAAGCTGCTCGATTTGTTCAAAGAAGGCGTGCAAACGGTGAGAATGAACTACTATCCGCCATGTGAGCAAGCTAGCAAGGTCATAGGTATTGCCCCACATTCCGACGGCAGTGGATTGACTCTTTTGAATCAAGTGAATGAAGTACAAGGTTTGCAAATCAAGAAGGATGGAAAATGGGTTCCCGTTGATCCCATTCCAGGTGCATTCATTGTTAATGTCGGCGATATTATTGAGGTAATATTAGCAAAACTCATAGCAAATTGTAATAATTAAACCTTCTTTAGCATATGTAAAAACCATTTCATCTTTATTTTAACCTTGTGAATGCATTGACCACAGATTATGAGCAATGGAGTATACAAGAGCATAGAGCACAGAGCATTAGTGAACCATAAAAAGGAGAGACTGTCAATCGCAGCGTTTCACGATCCAAACGTCGACGCTATGATTGAGCCATTGCCAAACCTTCACACCCTAGATCAAGAGAAACAAGCACCAAATTATAAATCCATATCGCACCAAGATTTTAAGAAGCTTGGGAGGAAAATGAAACTCGATGGCAAAAACAAAGGCTTGATTCAATATCTGAAAATACAAACCGAAAAAGAGGAATGAATTCCAAGCCCCTCCACGGTAAAAAAAAAGTAACCGAAAAGTTCAGACCTAATAAATCATGCCAATGGGGATGTTTTTTCTTACGAATAATCATATGCTAAAGGAATGTTGTTGTTGAGAAGAAGTGAAATTGCAGCAGCTGAAGAAGTCCTTATCCTATTTGGAAAAGGATCGAAAGTATGGCGCCAAGTTCAAAAGTATCAGTGTCAATAAAAGGAACAGTGTCGTTTTCGTTCACTGTTAGTCGAGTCTCTCATTTGATTTATTGTTAGTTGAGTCCTTAAAGTTTTATTTAGTTTCAGTTAAGTCCCGTCAGTAGTCAGAAGTGGTTGAGACTTGAGACATTGCAACTGAGTCTTAGATCATGGTTGCTCATTTTCAAGACTGTGGTTTAGTGCTTAGAGTGGTGTAATCCTTGTTTTTGACTTAATCAAATGTTCTTATCTTTGTATTGTTCATTTCTAATAAAACTTGTCAGATTGAAAGTCTATTGAGTCTTCATTGTTGTATTAGAGTTCAAGCAAGCTATAACCAAAGCTATCAAGCTAGTTCGAGTGATTAGTTGAGTGAAGTTTTGCTGTCAATTGCAACCTGGGTTTGGGAAACACTAGTGATGTTGTGACTTGTGAGAGTTCTTGACCAATAAGTGAGTGAAATACTACTGTCAAGAGGTGATATTGTGGTTGGGAAAATGATTGATACAAAAAGCTTTGCTCAAGTAGGTCTTCCAAGATTTGATGGTTGAGTATTATCACTAGAGTCCATTGATGGAGAATTTGCTTTGTTCAAAAGAGTACTGGAGTGTGTTGCAAATCAGATTCAAAGAAACATATGTTGGTGCAAGTAGGGCTGCAAATGAGTCCAGTCGAGTGGAGTTATTGCTTAGCTTGAGTTCGACTCGTTTATAAAATTTTTAGCTCGAGCTCGGTTCGAACTCGAATTTAGCTCGAGCTCGACTCGATTAAAAATAATCCAGCTCGAGCTCGGCTCGATAGAGCTCGATAAATGCTCATTAACACAGCTTGTCAAGCTGAGTACAAGCTCGACTCAAGATAAGCTCGATTTGAAACCATTGTTGCTGAAAAATGTGTACAAATAAGAACATTAGAAATTAAAAATGATAAAAAGAACACTAGAAACTAAAAATAACATCTAACTTCCATACACTTCCTCATTAACAAGATAATTTTCATGTTCAGAAGAGTAATTAATCCTTCCACAAGCTTTAAACAAGCCAGCTCGCGAGCTTAGCTAAACAAGCCACCGAGTCAATAGCTAGCTCACGAGCTTATCAAGCCGAGCATGGCCTAGCTCAAGTTTGGCTCGTTTAATAACGACCCGGCTTGTTAAACAACGAGTCGAGTGTCGAACGAGTTTTTTCCTATTCGAACGCCGAGTTGCTCGTGAGCGACTTGGCTCATTTGCAGCCCTAGGTGCAAGCCTATCTGATGCTGGAAAAAAAAAACTCTAGAAGAGCTGAGATTGAAGGATCTAAAAATCAAGAACTATCTCTTCGATTTAATTGATAAAACCATCTTCAAAATAGTCTCCAAGAAAGGCAAGCCAGAGACTTATGGGATGAAGGAGGGAGAGTCTGTGAATAGTTATTTTGGCAGAGTCATCACTCTAGCTAATGCCATGAAAAATTGTGATGATAAGATGTCCAATGAGAAGATTGTAGAGAAGATTATGAGAACTCTAACAGAAAAATACAATTATGTTGTCTATTCTATTGAGGAGTCTAAGGACATTGAGGAATTACCGGTGGATGCTCTCTTCAGAGCTCTTCTTATTGTTCTTTTTTTTTTTACAAAGAGATAAATTTCATTCATGGACCCGATTGTAGTACAAGCGAAGCACATTACAACAAAGGAGAAATAAGATCAAGGATCTGAATCCAATCTGTTGGTAGAGTTCCTTTTGTTGTTTCCTTTGCAACCCAGTCCGCACTCTTGTTAAGTCTTCATGGAGTAAAATCAACACGGATTTGGTCGTTAGTCTCTAAGATTTGCTTGATGCAATGAATCCAGGCCCTCACTCGCCATTGCCCTGCCGTGTTGTTGCCCTTGATTGCATTAATAAGAACCTGGCAGTCCGAGAAAACCCTTGCAGTGAGGCCTGAAGCCTGTGCGAGCCTGAGAGCCGCCAGCAGTGCCTTTGCTTCCGCCACAATCGGTGATGAACAAAACAAAGTCCCAGCCCTTCCGTCGATTACTTGTCCATGGTTGTTACGTACTACAACACCATAAGCCGCTACCTGGGATTCCGAGCAAAAAGCTCCATCACAGTGGATCTCCATCTGGGGATTTCCTGGCGGTGGATCAATAATCGTACGATGTGGGGGAGGCTGGGGAAGAAGAGAAGTGGATCCTTCGTTGGCTGATCGTTGGTTGATACCACACCAGTCATTGAAGAACCCGATCGCTTTTCTGGAGGTCACTTGCAGTTGAGGTCGTACCCCTTTGAAAGTCATCTCGTTTCTAGAGGTCCAAATGGCCCACAGTGTAGCAATGATAGCTGTAGTTGAATGCACTGTAGACGTCTCATGGATGTGAAAGATCCACATTAGGATTGGTAAGTCCCGCTATGGCAGAGGGAGGGAGGCAAATGCTTGATTCCACATTGCTCTAGCATGCGCGCACTCGAAGAAGACATGCCAGGTGTCCTCGACTCCTCCATCACACACTGCACATACAGGTGAGACAATCACCTTTCGAAACCAGAGATTCCTCTTCGTTGCAATTGCGTTCCTCGTGATCCTCCGGATGAAGTTGAGCAATTTTGGTGGTAAGGATAAGCTCCATAACCACTTCCAAGCCTTGGTGGAACATCCAGGGTGATTGGGATCCTCTGCTCCAGTTTTGCTTCTTTCCGTTGTTCTAAACACATGGTATGCCGACTTGACTGTGAAATCTCCGGACTTCTCAGGATGCCAAAGTTTCAATCCCCCCCCCCCCACCACCCGTCTTCAATAACCCCCGGCCTTCCATTGACCCCGGGTTATGGAGGTGGCGATGTCATGTCACAGTCAATCTTAACTATTTGATGTAACTTTGAAAGAAATACACTATGGACATACTTAAAAGGAGAGGTCTGTAGCTTGCAAGCCGCTGCACTCTTTGCTATCAGGAAGAGGAAAATGCGGAGCACATCTTTACCAAGTGCAAATTCATTCAAGATATTTAGAGTGCTATCAAGATGAAGAAGAGTTTTATTGGAAATTTACAGGGTGATTTGCCTTCTGTCATCAACGGAAGACCAGCCTTGACCCCCAGCAATATTGATGAGTGGTTCAATGTTAGCTTTCTTCACTCCTTATTTTGGCCAGTTTGGTTGCAGAGGAATCAGCGAATTTTTAACGACTCTCCCTCGTCAGCCATTGTTATTGCGCGGAAGTCAGTCAAAAATGTCATTTACTGGCTAACAGCCCATAAGAAGATCGATAAGGATCAAGCTGCTATTTGGATTGCTAACTTTCTTTCTTTCTTGACTGATCTGTGGTGTTGGTTTGCCGTGTGTTCTTTTACAGGGATGGTTCTGCAGTCCGTATTGGTATTGCAAGTGCTGTTGTTTTTTGTTGTTTTTGTTATCCCTTTCTGTTGAGCAGCAGGGACGGCTTTAGTCCGTCTAGCTTATTGTTTGTTGTTTCCTTTCTTTCCAGTAGTGTGCTGGATTGTCTGTCTCTGATTCGGGAGCTGGTTCAGTTCTCCTGAACCCCTGTTTCTCCTTTTCTTTCCTTTGTACTTGGTACTTTTCTCTTTCTTCTTTCTTCAATAAAATCACCATTATAAAAAAAAAACTTTGAAAAAAAAATAAAATAAAAACAACAATGTTGATGATAAACTTATGGACCACCAGCTACCAGCTAGGACTATGGGTGGGCCAATGATCTAGACAAATTCAATTTTGGATTGAAGAAAAGAAAAGAAAAAGTCGAAATGAAATTTTGATCGGACAAATTCAAATTAAATGAACCACTCGCGTACACGGTACACCAGGTCCTTTTCTGGTTATTTATCATTTCACCAACTCAATGGTTGGTTTTTTTTCCCCACTTTAGTTAAGGAGGCGATAGGCTATGAAAGCTGCAGAAGATGTCATCTTAAGAAGATGTGGTAATGAGAGAGACTATTCATGGCATGACAGGGTGGTTGTTTGTACGTAATGTCGGGGATGCATGTCTTAGATAAGTTGTCAAAAATCCTAATCCACAATTCTACTATCTCTACACAATTCCATAAGTCTCAAGACTACAAGCTCTACATCCATCTGCCAACTACCACCTACATCAATAACTATACTAAAATAATTGAAATAATCTACAACCATACTCTAAACCTACCCATCATCTAAATATGGGACTGGTTACGGTGCTAATTCTTTTATGGTACAACTTGAACTTGTACCTTTATGTGATCGTACAATTTCAAGTTGTAAAGTTGTACCATAACATAATGGTACAAATTGCTTTATGATACGTACAAACTAAACTTATACATTTAATGTTATGGTACAACTTTGAGTTGTACATTAAAGCACCAATACTATATAGCATAGTAAAAGTGCTCCTAGCTAGATACAAGAGTGCAAAGGAATTTAGGGACTTGTTTGTCCGTACTACTTTCCATACATGGGTTTAGGGATGGCTATACGGTCCGGTCCGGTTAAATTGGAACAAAATTGATCTGGTCTCAGTCCGGTCTTTTCGCGAATATAAGAACAAAAAATTGGATTGGATACAATCCGGTCTTGATCCTGTCTTAACCCGGTCCGGTCCCAATTTGATCTTGATTTTAGGTGTTGGGAGTCTCTTATCCGGTCTTTATCCAGGTTTTTTTTACCTCAAATCTAAGCCCGAATATGAGATTGGATTGTTTGTTATCCGGTCCCAGTCCGGTCCCGATCCAGGTTATACGGTCCGGTTTCGAATAAAACCAAACAGTCCGGACCAAATAGCCGGTCCTATGAAAGAGTTTGGTCTACATTTCACGCATGATCGTCTAAGACCAGCCTTTCTTGGCGACCATTATAGTTAATGTCGTCTCGTCGGTCGTGGACTTGTGCAAGTTCACCGTCCATACGGTGCCAACACTACTCATGGTCCTTTTCGAGCAAAGAAAGAGTGGTAGGTACTAGGGGTGGCTATACGGTCATGTCCGGTTAAATTGGCCCAAATTGATCCGGTCCAGTCCGGTTTTTTTGAAAATATAAGGACCGAAGATTGGATTGGATACAGTCCGGTCTTGATCCGGTCCGGTCTTGACCAGGTCCGGTCCCAATTCGGTCTTGATTTTATATTGAGATTGTGGGAATTTGAGTGGCCTAAGGCCTAAAAGGGTGAGGAGTTGGTTAAGTTTTGTACTAAGTGCAAAAGTTTGTGACCGTTTATGCAAATTACCCTTAAGTTTTGGGTGTTGAGCTCTCTTATCCGGTCTTTATCCGGTTTTTTACCTCAAATCTAAGCCCAAAGATTGGATTGGATTGTTTACTATCCGGTCCCGGTCCGGTCTCGGTCCGGGTTATACGGTCCGGTTTCCGGTTTTTCATCCGGTCCCGGTCCAAATAGCCAGCCCTAGTAGGTACCCGTTATTGTTATATAAACCAAACAAGAGAGCCATACCTGTTATTGTGATAATAAGTTCAATATACTCTCTATTTCCAGAAGAAGAAGAAGAAGGAGTGCGTTCTCCCAAAAATGGAGGTTGGAGGTTCTCTTCCCGTTCCCAATGTTCAACAGCTTGCTTCGAGCTCCGAGGGTGTGCCCGTTAGGTACATACGTCCTGAACTCGAGCTCGAACGAGTTTCTAATGACGAGTATGATCGAATTCCACTGATCGATATGAGCAAGCTGAATGATGTTCGTGATGATGGCGATGATGATGAGGCCGCTAAACTGCATTCGGCTTGTAAGGATTGGGGATTCTTCCAGGTATGACTCATCAAAATCCTTAATATTTTTTTTTCTTTTACCAAGTTAGCAACCGGCCATTTGAAATGGATCATTATACTACCTGATCAAAACTAGAGATTGTGTCAAAATGTAGGTGATCAATCATGGGGTTGCCGAAGAGGTGATCCTGAAAATGAAGGCGGATATTCAAGAGTTTTTCGGCCGACCATTGGAAGAGAAAATGGAATATGCACAACTGCCAAATGGCATTGAAGGATACGGCCAAGCATTCGTTGTGTCGGAAGAGCAGAAACTTGATTGGGGTGATATGTTATACATCAATGCACAACCTATTAATCGAAGAAACATGAGGCTGTGGCCATCTTCGTTAAGGTTGTTCCCCTTTCCCTCACTTTATTAAAATGAAGATATATGTCTTCATAAATTAGCATATTTTTCTAAGTTGATTACTTTAAAATGTCTCATGTTCTAAAAAATGAATCGGGTTTAACTATTCTTAATCAGAAATCCATCATATTGTTAGTTTTACTAATTGCCTTAAATTGGTAAATCATATTGTATAGATTGGATCATGATATACTCGTATCAAGATTCTTAACAATTTTTCCACCATTAAACCTTAGCTAGACTAAGAACATCAATTCTCATATAGCTTCATAAAAACCCACATTAAATCCAAACTCTGTTACCCATTCACAAAATTAGTATATTTTAGCCTCGATTATGACCAAACGTTCTGGTTTGTCCTTCTTCCATCAGGGCATCTCTTGACCAGTATTCAATAGAACTGGAAAAAGTAGCTAGAAGCTTGATGACTTCCATGGCTAAGAACCTTGGAGTGGAGCCCGAAAAGCTGCTCGATTTGTTCAAAGAAGGTGTGCAAACGGTGAGAATGAACTACTATCCGCCATGTGAGCAAGCTAGCAAGGTTATCGGTATTGCCCCACATTCCGACGGCAGTGGATTGACTCTTTTGAATCAAGTGAATGAAGTACAAGGTTTGCAAATCAAGAAGGATGGAAAATGGGTTCCCGTTGATCCCATTCCAGGTGCATTCATTGTTAATGTCGGCGATATTATTGAGGTAATATTAGATTGTAATAATTAAACACTCTTTAGCATATATAAAAACCATTTCATCTTTATTTTAACCTTGTGAATGCATTGACCACAGATTATGAGCAATGGAGTTTACAAGAGCATAGAGCACAGAGCATTAGTGAACCATAAAAAGGAGAGACTGTCAATCGCTGCGTTTCACGATCCAAATGTTGACGCTATGATTGGACCATTGCCAAATCTTCTCATCAAAGATCCAAAGAAACAAGCACCAAATTATAAATCCATATCGCACCAAGATTTTAAGAAGCTTGGGAGGAAAATGAAACTCGACGGCAAAAACAAAGGCTTGATTCAATATCTGAAAATACAAACCGAAAAAGAGGAATGAATTCCAAGCCCCTCCACGGTAAAAAAAAAAGTAACCGAAAATTTGAGACCTAATAAATCATGCCAATGGGGATGTTTTTTCTTACGAATAATCATGCTAAAGGAATGTTGTTGTTGAGAAGAAGTGAAATTGCAGCAGCTGAAGAAGTCCTTATCCTATTTGGAAAAGGATCGAAAGTGGCGCCAAGTTCATATGTATCCGTGTCAATAAGAGTAACAGTGACGTCTTCGTTCACTGTTAGTTGATTCTCTCATTTGATTTATCTAGTTCCAGTTAAGTCCGGTCAGTAGTGAGAAGTGGTTGAGAGACTGCAACTGTGGGTCAGTCGTTAGAGTGGTGTAATCCGTGATTTTGGCTGGATCAAATAATGAACTTATCTTTGCATTGTTCATTTCGTATAAAACTTGCCAGATTGCAAGTGAGCCTTCATTGTTGTATTAGAGTTCAAGCAAGCTGTAACCAAAGCTATCGAGCTAGTTTTAGTGATTGGTTGAGTGAAGATCTGCTGTCCATTGCAACATGTGTTTGGGAAACACGAGTGATCTTGTGAGGAGTTATGGAACAATAAGTGAGTGAAAACACCCATGTCAAGAGGTGATATTATTGTGTTTGAGAAAATGAGTGATACAGAATCTGTAGGCAGGGGAAGAGAGAGAATTGAATTTTGATCATCAGAAGAAGTATTTTTTTCACTGGTCGGTTGAGAAGGAGTAGAATTTGTAGGCAGGGGAGGTGAGAAAATAGGATTTTGATCATCAAAAGGAGTAGTTTTTTCACTGGTCGGTTGAGAAGGAGTAGAATATGTAGGCATGTGAGGTGAGAGAATAGGATTTTGATCATCAGAAGGAGTAGTTTTTTCACTGGTCGGTTGGGTAGGAGTAGAATCTGCAGGCAGGGGAGGCAAGAGAATTGGATTTTGATTATCAAAAGGATTTTTTTTTCATCGATCGGTTGAGAAAGAATAGAACTTGTAGGCAGGGAAAGTGAGAGAATTGAATTTTGATCAACAGAAGCAGTATTGTTTTCACTGATCGGTCGAGAAGGAGTAGAATATGTAGGCAGGAAAGGAGAGAGAAGTGGATTTTGATCATCAGAAGGAGTAGTTTTTTCGCCGATAGGCAAAAGAGGAAGAGGTTCAGTGTACGGGTGAGGAGGGAGAACTTTGTTTTGACCATCGGATGAAGGAGTTGTTCCTTCCTTTCTCCTCTTCTTGACCTTCTTGCCCTTCGGTGGATGTGGCGGGAGAACTGTAGTTTGATCATCGGACGAAGGAGTAGTTTTTCCTTTGATAGGTTGAAGAGGACTAGGATCGATATTCTGGGGAGCAGTGATAACTGATTCTTTTTGGGTTATAGGTATAATATGCCCCTATACTATGTTGTTTTATCAAACATGCCCCTTTACTATTTTTTTTTTTACATCTAACATGCCCTTCTATTAAAATTTCTATTGAAAAAATTGTCAATCATGGTTGAACCTAGATTTAGACGACCCGACATCAGCAAATGGGAGGGAAAATGCCAGTTTTGTCCCCTGTTTTATTTCTCTGGGTCTCGTCAAGGTGAAATTATTAGAATTATTTGGCTATACAAAAGAGCCAAAAAAATTCTAAAGTGAAATTAGTAGGGATATTTTAGAGATTTGTGTCGTCAAAAAGAGGGACAAAATTAAATAATAGAGATAGAAATACCTGTCAAAGTAATAAGAACACTTAAAAAAAAGAAGACAAAAATGGGTAATTAGTATAAACGGCAACAATATTTTGCATTTTGTACAAAACGACTACAAACCTATTATTTTGCACAATTCGGTAGCAAACGTTTGAGCATGTAACAAAACACTTCACATCACCAAAATTATTAATAGAAAATTAACTTAATGTAGCAACCCAACCTACCCGATGGATAGTCCAAGACTACCCAATTTACATTTGTAATCCTGTTATGAAAATATTATTATTATTATGGATGACCAACATTAGATGCTCCATGGTATGTTACAAGTTCTATGTAACTCATCTCCTTATATTTATTCTCCATATGACACATTAGTTGCACAATTGGGTGTTACATGTAACCCCCCACCCCATTTCTAATGACACATTAGTTGCACAATTGGGTGTTACATGTAACCCCCCACCCCATTTCTATTTCACATTCATTCTCACATTCATGTATATTGATTGTAAGAATGTAGAGGTTATGTGATGTGTGCCTATAAATAGATGGTCTCCTTGTACTAAGGAAGATATGAATAAGAAAGCTCTATTCCCCCTCTCTTCTTGTGTCTCTACTCTTACTCTTGTGTATGTTCCTCTTCCTTGTTATTTCATAACACGTTATCAGCACGAAGCTCTACCAAAGTAATGGTTGGTCATTGTCTCTCTACATAATCACATATACTTGAGTAAGATCACAACACGATCAAGGTATGCAAATTTTCATGTCATTTCTTGTTAGTATGTTTATATATCTCATTGTCTTTGAGAGATTATTTGATCTTGTTATTTGTTCATATTATTTTATGAACTTATTTTATATTTGTCAATCTTGTAACATAGAGTTTGTGCTTGGACATTATCAGATAATGAAAATTGCTCCTGTTGTAGCAAAATCATATGAGTTGACTTATCGATTGCTACATTGGACATATAGAGAAATGAAAGTCTAAAGATCTCATTTTCCCCCGAAGTGGAAAAATGAAGAAAAATGTGTCAAATGAAAGAAGTGGATCTGGTAACAAAAATGTCAGAATATGAGTTACCATTGCGATGGGGAAAAAAATACACCGGAAGTTTGGATAACGACAATCAACAAATGTTTCTTTTCACCGGAAGTGAAAGATAAAATTATTATAAATGAGGATGACACAAGAATTCATGTAGCAAAAGTCATGATCATATACTATAACCTCTGTATGTCGAAATGTGTAATGAAACACATATATATTGATGTTATTATTATTATTTTGTATACTTTTGTATAGAATGAATATTTGCAAAAGCCACTACTGGTATTATATCATATAGTATGAAAGTAAGAAAAAGCTCCGGAAGAGATTGTGTTTTGTTACTTGAAGTAACTAAACAATATATTGGTGATATTAATAGTATGTAAATATTCTTATCACTATGTATATGCTTACAATAGTTCACCGAAATCAAAAGGTGCCTAATGACCAAAATGTAGTACAAGAGTATGTGAAAGCTCCAGAAGAGCTAATGTTTTGAGACGTGAATGAACTAAACTCTCAGTTGAAGATGCATTACCGAATTATGAAGATATTCGCAGAAAAGAATATCATAATTTATATTGCATCAGAAATGTGTTATAAGAGAACATATACTTCACTGGAGAAATTTGTACTACATGTATATTAGTACATATGAAGGTGTAAACCAGAAGTTTGCAAGATCGGATAACTTTTTATTTTGGCATGTCCGGTCATACCATCCCGGATACAGATGCAAAAATGATTGAGATATCATACGGAAATTAAGTGAGAGTTCAGAGAATTCATCAATCAAAAGATTGATTATGTGATACATGGTCTCGAGGAGAATATACTCGTGAAAATAATTGAATTTGTTGAGATTTTATAAAAGTGTATGCAGAAAAATACACTCACCGTGCAAATCATATATGAATTTTATGATTTTGGTTGATTCATCAACTATATCATCATATATGTCTGTTATCTAAATGCAACCTGATGTTTGCGAGATTAGTTGCCGAATGATGGATATATTTTGATGATTATCCAATCAAACAGAACTTCTCTTATGAGAACAAACTAAGTCTATCGATCTCTTATCGAGGCATATGATATCATTAATTCGCATGAAGCCAACAAGTTATCATAAGTTCTCCCCTTTCATACAAATGGTTTTGGTCAGGGACCAAACATTTAAAATGCTAGAAAATTTGGGTGTGCAGAATACATCCCAATTGATCCACCACAACACGTTATGAGTTCCATGAGAACTTATGTTGGACATGGTGTCCATTGCAATGAGAGATTTGTTCATGACTCTTTTTGCTAATATCATCATTTTGATGAATTACTTTTCGAACGTTAAGGGGGAGAAAAGTAAACACTAGGGCATAGATGTGAGTTGGAATCATCATCTCATTTTGATCCTCAAACGAAGAAACATGAACCTGAAGTTCATATGGTGATTCATGGAGGAAAAAAACGTATTGATTGCCAAACGCCTTTTTACTCACTAAAAGGAGTGATTATGTCAAATGCCCAGTTGTGAATGCTCCAATACAAATTGATGTCCATATTGGATAATCTAATGAGTCTAAACGAGCGTATGAAGCGTGATAGACCAATCGGTTCCAAGGATAAAAATCCTCGAGAAAGGAAGGAGCTATAAATTAAGATGGTAAACTCGAGGATAAAATAGCTCTAGAAGAGTCAGGTCATAAAATTGAGATCATAGTTCCAGAAGAATAGTAGGTACCTGAATGTTTTAAAATGAAGAGATCTCAATTAATTGGCTTGTATGAAAAAAGTTGGAACCGAAGTGTATTTATTGTCGACAAGGGTTTTGATTATGCTGCAGCACTGAACGTGATAGATACAAAGAGGATCAAAAGTAAAAGTCTATTGATGCATGCAGAGAAATATATATTGGCCAATATAAAAGAAAGCATTAGGCTATTTGGTATAAGTTTTGGACCAGAAGTCCTTACACCTGAAGATGTAAAACTAATGGGATGCAAATAGGTTTTGTGCAAACGCGTATGGAAATTGCGAGAGATATAATACAATTTCTCGTGAGAGGTTTCTAGTAGAAACCTGACATCAATTATGAAGAGACATACTCTCTTGTGGTGGATGCAACTATGGTGTGCAATTTAAATAGTTTGGCAGTTCAAAAGGCATGAAATTTGCATTTGGTAGATATTGTGATAGCCTATTTGTATGGATCCCTTGATAATGATATTTATACGAAACTCCCTGAAGGATTAGTTTGTCAGAAGCAAACATGTGAAGTTCTCGAGAACAATATCGATCGATAAAACAATCCCTTGTATGGATTGAGATAAAATGGATGAATATGGTATATTCATCTAAGTGAATATCTACTAAAGGAAGTGGTCGAATAAGCCTTGCGTGATTAAATTCGAATAAAGTGCATTAGAGCATTTGCATTTGGCATGTGTGATTGTGTAATGACATATAAGCTTATGTGCGTGATATTGTGGTTTTAGTTATGAGTTTGATTTATGAATATGGTTTGGTTAAGTGATATTGTGTGTATGACGTGCCTTTTGCTTGTGACCGTGTGGTATGAAGTAATTGTTTGCATACAATTGTGTTAGCTAAGTTTTATAGTTATTTGGAAGAAAAAAGTCGAGAAATTATTTTATAATGATCTCATATCTTTTAGTTGATATGAACTCCAGAAGAGCTTCATAAAGCATGTTTTGCTTGATGAAAGAAAATTAAACTTCAGAAGAGTTTCATGCAACATGGATTGCTTAAAGAAAGAAAATTGAACATGAAGGATTTAAGATCCTTTTTGGATCAGTACGACAATGTCGGAAAGGTGAAAGGACAATTTTGTATGAAAAAAATTGCATATGTTCAACAGCTTAATGATCACATGGTCACTAGAAGTGAACAATGATCAATTTAGGCATTGAGATAAAAGTGAATTATTAGGTCCTGAAGTACCGTATGTTAATGTCGTTAGAACGAAAATGTATCTCGCTATACTTCGTTACTATAGGTAACGATGAGGATCATAGATGAGTAATTTGTTTACCTATGGTCGTACAAGTATCTCATGGAGATTCCAAAGAAATCACAATAGCAACTGATCATGCACAATGGTCAACAATTCATGAGACTTGTTATGAATTGTTTGGTTAAGATTTGTTATTCAACACGTCTAAATGACTTGTAGTTGTGGATTCTCTTCATAAAAAATGATCTTGAAGATCATGTATGAAGAAAATGGTCCTAATGGATCATGCATAAAGTGACAATCTAGAAGATTTGTTCACTAAGAAGCTTACCATGAGAAGATTTGAAAGATTTGTTCACAACACTATACTTTGATGTTGTCATGAGGGGGAGCATATACGCACTGCACTCTTTTTTCCTTAACCATGGTTTTCCCACTGGGTTTTCCTGGTAAGGTTTTTAACGAGGCAGATTCAGATAGCGTATTATGATGATTATGTACTCTTTTTCCTTCACTAGGATTTTATCCCACAGGGTTTTTCCTAGTAAGGTTTTAACGAGGCATATTCATGTCTAATGGTCATCCAAGGGGGAGTGTTATGAAAATATTATTATTATTATGGATGACCAACATTAGATGCTCCATGGTATGTTACAAGTTCTATGTAACTCATCTCCTTATATTTATTCTCCATATGACACATTAGTTGCACAATTGGGTGTTACATGTAACCCCCCACCCCATTTCTAATGACACATTAGTTGCACAATTGGGTGTTACATGTAACCCCCCACCCCATTTCTATTTCACATTCATTCTCACATTCATGTATATTGATTGTAAGAATGTAGAGGTTATGTGATGTGTGCCTATAAATAGATGGTCTCCTTGTACTAAGGAAGATATGAATAAGAAAGCTCTATTCCCCCTCTCTTCTTGTGTCTCTACTCTTACTCTTGTGTATGTTCCTCTTCCTTGTTATTTCATAACAAATCCTTATTTTTCTTTTTCAAGTCCGTGGGAAGTTTATATATAAATATGCAAAAGGGGCTTGTATTTGAGTAGAGTGGTGAGAGAGAGTGTAAAGAGAGAAGAGAAATCATAGAGAAAAGGAAAAGTTAGTTGGGTGGTCGTGTCTCCCGTGTGGTTGGAATGAGATTTTGTTAAGCTTCGAATCAAAATGAACGATACAAAGAAAATTAAAATGACCCACATAAGAATAAGACCTATATATACATCGAGAAATAAAATGAAATTATTCGTATCAAGGGAAATAATTGTGAACAGGGGGTCCAGTTTCTCAATTTGTTGCTAGACAGCTAGAAGATAGCAATAGCACATAGCATAACAACTCCCAATTTGTCCTTTTCTCCGCTCTTACACTCTATTTTTATAGGAGAGAAAGGGAGAGAAAGCGAAGAGAAAGGAAAATTTGAAAGGAAAATACAATTCCCAAATAATTTTTTTCTGTTTTTTTAGCTCAGCTATAGTTAGGGTTGGCTATTTGGTTCGGACTGTTTGGTTTTATCCGAAATTGGACAGTATAACCCGGACCGGGACCGGACTGAGACCGGATAGCAAACAATCCAATCTCATATTCGGGCTTAGATTTGAGGTAAAACCCCGGATAAAGACCGGATAAGAGACTCCCAACACCTAAAATCAAGATTAAATTGGGACCGGACCGGATCAAGACCGGACGGTATCCAATCCAATCTTTGGTCCTTATATTCCCGAAAAAACCGGACTGAAACCGAATCAATTTGGTCCAATTTAACCGGACCGGACCGTATAGCCACTCCTAGCTATAGCAGTAAAGAGAGGATTTAGAGTTGAAAGTTTACTGTATAGATCAACCCAATTAATTGGAGGGAAAAGGAAGGAAACACTTCTTTTTTCTTTTAATTTTCTTTTCTTTTGCCGCCTCTTTAGCCCTTCTTTTCCCTTTCTCTCCCCCAACTACCATGACCCAACCAAAAGCTATGAAGAAATAAATCAAATAATGGCGAGCAAACATAATAACAAGTATAATGAAAATATAATTTTCTTACAATATGAAGAATATTTATACGAGCAAATAGAGCAAATAACCAAACGACGTAGTTTTAAACTACGACACTTAAACAAAATCTAAACTCTTCTTCTTGGCGCCATCTTCCTTTCGAGCAGGGTTCGAACTTGCCTTCCAACATCAAGTTGCACTGATTTCACACGTAGATTGATGGAAGGTTGAGAACTACGTACCTATCTCCATGCATGCAAGACACGTCGAAGGTTCGAAGACCAGTAACCAATAACAGGAACATATTTAATTAGTAGCTAATACTATATACATACACAACCAAAAGTTGAGATAGCCACCAATTTTTACAGTCGCAAAAGGACGCCTCTCGATTCATTCTTATAAAACATGGACTCGATCGGGAAGCAACAGCTCCTCATTGCTCAGCGCGTCGCAACCTGTAAACGCCATCGTTTCCAAATGACTCAGCTCCCTAAAGCTCCGTGGGATCTTCACGAGCTTCTTGCACTCGTCGAATTTCAACACGGTCAGGCGCTTCAACGACAAGACGGACGAAGGAAGCTCCTTGATCCCCGTGCCAGACAGACAAAGCCTCTCCAAGTTCGCAAGATTCCGGATCGTGTTGGGAATCCTCGATATCTTCGAACAGTAGCTCAGATCGAGCACGAGCAGTTTTTCCATGGTCATCGCGATCTCGGGGAACGAACCGAGATTCTCGCAACCATAGAAGTCGAGCGTCTGGAGAGAATTCAACATGTGGATCTTCAATGAGAAATCGACGAGGAGCTTGTTGTGTCGAAATATCAAATGCTCGATCGACATGCTAGTATTGCTGACGAGAGCGTCGATGGATGGGAATTTCGACAAGTTTGGGCAGCTCGAGCAGTCGATTTTGGTGAGGTTTGGTGCTCGTAGGAGCAATCGAGGGACTTTTTCGATTGGCGTGGCGTCCAAGTTTACTTGCTCCAAACGTGGGAAAGCTACGGTTCCTTGTGTGTCTTCCTCGTCCAATTTACTGAGGTCTAGAGCTTTGCACGAATCTAGAATTAGGGTTTTGAGGCTTGGGAGGTAGATGACTGATGTATGAAGCTCGATTAGTGTCTCGCAGCAGGTCAGATCGATGAGCTCGAGTTTTTTGGCAGTTGAGAGATCCGGTAGCTTGGTTAGGTATTTGGATGCTGTGAGATTGAGCTCTCTCAGATTTCCAAGATCCTGCACGTACACATGATTAACTCCGAGGCAAATAGTTGTATGTATGTGTATGTCACAATTAGGAAATTTTATGTATCGTGAGATCACATGAGGTACGAAATACTTACGGTCTTAGCTCCGTCGTCCCACAGCTGACGGATGGTGTTGTGTTTCAGCCTTAGCACTCGAAGCTTATCGGGGCAGAATTTGGAGGGCAAAGATGTGGCAGCAAACAAGTCCCAACGAAGATATGTTAGCTTGCGCGGGAGAGTATTGATGAGACCTTCGCCATTAGGGAAAACTACTTTGCTTTCTGGTGCTAATTCAATGGAAAGCACTCTCAGATTCCACATCTTTGCAAAAGTATCAGAACATTCTGTTTCTATCTTCTCCTCGTTTTCATCCAAATTCAACCAGATTCCTTCTGTTGCTTCCGTTCCCTGAATGAACAAAATCGAGCGAACAAACATGTAATTTATAGTTTATGTAATACTGTATGTCAGTACAAATAATTCGAGTTACTGAATGAGATATAAATAAATTCTATATTTACCTTGTTTTTTGCTAGCAAATCTAAGGTATCTTTGACTTCCCACCACCTAGTTCGTTTTTGAGGATCCGTTTCCGCCTCAACGATATCCTGCCCTAAATCTTCAAGCAAAACATGCATTTCTATCTTACCTTTGGAATAGTCAATCCCGACAAGAGACTTGTCGGCCAAGTTGGTGACCAGATCTTCATCCAACACTCTCGTCACGAAATCATAACTCTCATGGTTGAAGAAGCAAGCGATGTCGAGGAATGCACTCTGCTCGTCTCGACTCAACTCGTTGTAGCTAATCATCAACAAATCCTGAATGTCCTTCTTGTGAAGTGTCCTCAGCTTTTCCAATTTCATATCCCAAAGGTCTAGTTTCTTCTTGTAGAACGCCACGCCCAAAACTCTCAAGGCCAGTGGGTTTCCACCACAATAAGCTACAACTTTTTCACACCTCTCCTTGTACTCATCTGGAGGTTGGTCCTTCTTGAAGGCGTAAAAGCTGAAAAGTTGAAGGGCTTTCTCCTCGTCGAGGCCCGGGACTTGGTGCACTTCTTGACAAGCATTAATGAGCACCTGTTGATTCGTGCTCGTCAGGATCATTCGACTTCCCGGTCCAAACAGATTGCAGAACTTCCAATCCAGCAGCTCTTCTAGGGCTTGCATGCTTGCACTCGTCACATCATCGATGACGACGAACGCCCTCAGACGACGGAGGCGACTGAGCTTGTGACCAAATGCAATGTCTTGAGGATTATCGTCCCGCAGCAACACCTTGAATAGTTCGTTTTGCAGATCCTTCACCGTCTTGGTCTTCGACTGGACTGCGAAATCGGGGATGTAGTGTCGTCCTTCGAATACGTCTGGATCGATTTTTTGGAAGATAGAATTGGCTAGGGTTGTCTTGCCGATTCCAGGCATTCCCCAAAACCCTATTACGCGATTGCGTTGTGGATCAGTCTCCAGTAATTTATCAACTGCTTCAATCTCCGACTCGATACCGACCAATCCTTCTGTGATAGGAGAAGAATTCGGTCTGATTGCTTCTAGCACACGTTTAGTCACTTCTTTGACCAGATGACTCTCAGGCCTAGCTAGATCAAGAAAGAAAGTTATTAATTCTGCTTGACGAGTTCCACTCATAAAATTCAATTACTTGCAAAGAAAAGGATGGTTAATGAAATTTCTATATGTATTAAACACCATTAAAATTCCGACTCTTATTTTATTGTATATTTATCTAATCTTATCTCACTGTTGTTTCTTTTGCTGTTCTTTTATAGACTTGCCTTTTTTCTTTTGTCTTTCTTCTTCTGAGGTTTCATGGACTTGCATTTTTCCCATATCAACATTATTCATCGCCATTATAAAATAAACATAATGTATTCCTACTTTATTGCACCACAAATTAATATATTTTGCCGCACTAAAGTAGGTGACTAAAAGTTTCCGTCCCGTATAGCGTTCGATCATAATATTATAGCTAGTGCAATTAATCAATTATTATAGTTATGAAAAAAAAAGCATCAATAAACCCGTTAAAAAAACCATTAATACGTACGTGGTGACTTGGGAATCAAACCCAGAAGTGTCGGCGGCTTCCTTGAGCGCAGCTTTCCAGTTTTCGAGCTTGGCCTCGTCACTGGGAAACTTGGCCTTGTGTTCAACAAATGCATCCGCGTAGCTTGCTTCTTGGTTCCTAACATGGGAAGGCGTCACTCCACCGTAAAACACAGGTATCATCTTCCGCCCGTACTTTTTCGTGCACTCCAAAATCTTGACGAGCTCGTCGAGACACCATCGAGAGGTCGCGTAGTTCGGGGAGAAGATGACGACGTACAACGAGGATCTCTCGATCGCCTCGATGAGGGATGGCTCGATTATGTCGCCTCGTTTGAGGTTCACGTCGTCCTTGTAGGTGAGGATGTGTTTTTCGTTGTTCATGTAAGCGAAGAGGTGGCTGAGGAAGAAGTTTCGGACGTCGGTTCCTCTGAAGCTGATGAATGCATCGTACTTGGGCAAGAGATCGTTTATAATCTGATCGTCGGGAGGAGTAGTTTTTTCATCGACAGGTTGAGGAGGAGGAACAGGAACAGGATCAGCTACTGTATCTTGAACGTCGACGGAAGGAGTAGGTTTTTGGTCGATAGGTTGAAGAAGAAGAACAGGATCAGGAGGCGAGGGAGGAGGTTGATCGGCTACATTTTGATCATCGAAAGGAGTAGGTTTTTCGTCGATAGGTTGAAGACGAATAGGACGATCAGGAAGCGAGGGAGGGTCTGGATCGAGAGGAAGAGGTTTAGGAGGATGTTGAATCGTCCTAGGAAGAGGAAGAAAACGGCCACGAGGTGGAGGTTCTAAGTTTCTCTTGGAAGGGTGAACAAGGAAACGACCACGAGGAGGAGGAGGAGGCCGAGAAGTTTCCATTAGATGAAGGTGAAGAAGGCTTAGCTAGAGTGCTTGGAATTGAGGAGAGTAAGATGGGTTTTTGTGTGTGGAGCTTCTTTTCCTCAGGGAAAAGAAGTAGCTAGCTTTGATATAAAGCAAAAGGTTACATGAGAGAAAGAGATGGGAAGAATCAACCACAAGGAAAAAAAGAACAAAAGGTGCCAAAAATGAACGAGTGGGTAATGCTTGGTCTCAGTCAATCACCTTCATAAGCACGTGATATATGGAGCAGAAGATGATGCGATAATGGTTGTGTTGAGCTTGGCCTTTTGGCGTTCGACTGAAATTAAATCGACTGAAATATACAAATTAGTCGATCAATCGGATTAAAATACCCAAACACACTTTAATTGATTTGGTTTGGTTTTGAGTTGAGTTGAGTTTGAATTGAGTCCATGATAAAAACAGTGGATCTAGAACGTCCAGATGGGAATGACTGTTTATGAATCATACTAAAAAACTAGAGCAATCCATAACACATGAATGACTGTATATGGATCATAATTCACATTATGCACAAGAAGACGAACCGAGAGTTGATAGGTTATGTACTATCGCTATCTCAGATCTTTGTTTTCTTTTTTGTCCTTTATTTTTTCTGTTATGGATATGATATAATATGAGTATATATGGCCAAAGGGTTAGACAAATAATTAACATCATCTTTTCCAAAAGAGGACAACGCCAGGCTATCATCCACTTGGGAAAATGATTGCACCACCGCAGTGAGGAAATGGGGACCCTAGCCTGTTCACAATTATGCTCTGCAAAAGCGGTTGAACTCTAAATTGTTGGTAAGAAATTGCTATAGGATCTACTAAAAGAAATGATAGTATTTTTTTTTCAAGAGGAGGATAGGGTTCAATCTTTATAAAAATAAATTGTGAGCATATATATATGGGGGAATTCTGTGGTGCCGTGCCTGCACCAGTGCCGCCATATTTTTCTGATCGGTTAACAGAATGGGTTGTGATTTATTGGGTGGGTTTGATTCAGCTATTTAATTAATAAAATGAAAAAATAAAAAAAAAAGGTAAAAGAAAACATAAAACGTCTGTTCCTTGCCCTTTCACTTCTTTGTCCTTCCACCGTAAAGCAAGGCCAACAACTCCATCGCAGGAATCCACCACCACCGTCGTTGTTGGCTTGTTGCCATGATCGACCATCGCCAGCATTGTCTCTGCCGCCGCAATCCACAATCACCAACGCCGTTGCCGCCGATCGGTCATCACCACCCAGAACCCGAATCCCTGGCAGTCGATTTCACCACCGTCATTAATCCAGTTGCCGCCGCCGAGTCATCTCATCATATCGTCTCTGTCCTGTCAATCAACAACCATCGTCGTTGTTGCCGCTGGTCGGCCATCACCACCCATATCCCCACACCCTCAAAATCGCCATCATCATCAAGGCTCCTCCCCCTCGTTTAAACCGCCGCCGATTCAATATCACCATCGATTTCAAATTTTCAATGTACCACCTTCAGCCCGTCATCAACCCTATCCCCGCTGCCCGGTCATTCCCATCATCATCCCCACCGTGGCAATCGACGGCAAGTGCATACCTTTTTTTTTTCCTTTGGTAAATCAGGGGCAGGATTTTCTGGGAATGAAGCAACAAAATAAATAAATAATTTTATTTTATTAATAAATCAGTTCTCTGTTCCGTTTCAATGTTAAATTTGTATATTATAATAAATGATTTAAATATAAAATAGGTTCAACCTAACTTGGTTAAGTGGTGGTTAAAGTCCATGGTCCTAATTAAACACTGCCAATCCTACGGCTAACGCGCTGGCGGCACTAGTGCCGTGCCGGCACTAGAGAATTCCCGATATATATGTATATAATTATTTATATGAGAGTTCAAAAATCAAAATCTCTCCCTACACTAGATGCTGATCAACAGACCCGATCCGACAATAACTCAATTATTTCTCACCAAAGATAATTTACAGCATAATTAATACGAATCCTAAACAAAAATTAAAATGGAATCAAACGAATTATTTTAAGAAAATAATCACGAATAATTTTTTTTTAAAAAAGCCATAATCATTCCCTCCGTAGAAGAACTTGGTGAGATAAATAAACTTTGAGTGAAGTCTCTTGTCACGTTAGGTGACAAAACACCTAATTTTGGGTTATTCACGTTATATTTGTGTTGTTCACGCCATATTTGTGTCATTAACGTCATATTTGCATTATTCACGTAAGAGTGATGATTATTCACGTAACCAATATTGTTAGGTCACGCCATCTGATGTTTATTCACGCAATTTGTTAATTATTCATGCCGTTGTAAAATAAAATTTTAAACTTTGAAATATATCAAAATGGATGTCATTGTGTAGATTATGATCAATGCAACATATTTATACAGATTAAATGATAATCCAGATTTAATTCCATAAAATATAGCCAATACAAATTATTAGAGGGAAAAAGTATGAATTTTCATTTACGTGAAAAACTTACACTCTTACGAAAATCACCATATTATTACGTGAATAAGCACAAAATGGCGTGAATGGTCACAAAATGGCGTAAATGAACTGGTCTTAGGTGTTCTGTCACCTAACGTGACAAGAGATATTTTCCATAAATTTTTATTAAGTGGAGTTAGTGTGACCAACCTAACCCCAAAATGTATACACATATGAAGATGGACTTATTTCAATTGGAGTACTAATTAAAAAAAAAAACATATTAGTAAACCAATCAATTTTGGGTGGTGGTGAGTGCATTCAAGGCAGCCCTGAGAGAAACAACCTCCTTCTCCTTCTCTTCAAGCGTCTTCCTCAGCAAGGATTCCTTCTCCTCCATCTCCTTCTCCTTCTCCTCCACCACCTTCTCCCACGTGTCCTCGCCGCCGCGGCGGCCTAGTGGAGGCGCCACCAAAACGGCGCCGCTGCTCATGTCCCACACGCTCCATATCGTACCGGTTTCGATTGCCGGTCTGACCCCGTACTTGGACCAACCGAACCGATCGTTGAGCCTCAGCCAGGCGATGGAGGGACCGCCGGCGTGCAGGAGACAGAGACCCTGACGGTTGACCATCAGATAGTGGCTTTCTTTCGGTAAGATGAGATCTCCGATCAGCTCCTTCAGTCGGTCGCCGCCGATGGTCACCCCGAGCACCTCCAGCTCCTTGAACTTGGGCGCGGTGGGTCCCACGCGGGTCGAAGTGGACAGCCTGGGCTGCTGCTTGCTACTCCGCCGGAATATGAAGCCGAAATCTTTCAGGTCGTCGAGGAACGTGTAGACTGAAATTACCGGGGAGCCTTCTTTTGCTCGGATGAACTGGTAGTCGGACGTCAAGCTAAAGACCGACATTATTTTTGTTCTTATGTTACTTTTCGAGATGGAGAAAAAAACAAAAGTAGTAAAGTGTATAGAAGAAGAGGGCGGGAGATGTGCTTGCAAGAGGAAAGAAACACTTAGCTTTTTATATATGTCAGCCAATGTTAGGCATTAGGTGAAAGATTGTCTAGTGAAAGCAAAAATAATAATTTGTATACTAAATGACGAATGAAATATACTTTGTTCCATCGCGGTAACATAGCTATTGAAACTAGGAGCAGCAAAACTCGTTGAAGTGGAAAAAAAACAAGAATCATGGCAGTGAGCGGATTTTGCTGACGTTGTAGATGTACGCTAAACTTAGTTGTGCGCCTAAGTGAGTTTTGCTATTGAAACGATGCATAAATCAAAATTTGATATCATAATATTATATTCTAATCACGAATGGAAGAACGCTAGCTCTTAATTTTTTAAACCCAAGCCTTACAATAAGTTAGTCCCAACATAATAATCGACATATCTAATTCATCGTTAAAAGTATACTGAAATTAATCTAATGATTATTAATATACATAATTTTTGCTCCCCAGTCTATGTTTCATTTTTGACTTTATAGGTGAAAAAGTTTGAAAGCCACTCCTTACGTCCTGTTTTGGATAATATTAAGATACCAACAAAGCAAAAGGATAAAGGAAGATAATAATTAAGGGTTAATTGCATGGATGGTCACTGGATTTACTAAAAACGTTCATGTTTGGTCACTCCAAATATTTAATTTCATTCATGGTCACTAAGATTAGTTCAATAGTTCAAGTTTGGTCACTCTCCGTTGGTCTCCGTTAATTTTTGCTGATGTGGCAGTCAACTATTATAGTTGACCGTTAAATGAGTGACGTGGCCATTAAAAAATATTAAAATAATAAAATTTGAATATTTATAATTTCCACCTCATTCTATAACTATTAAAAAATAAAAATAAAACTTAACAAATGGTATCCGCCATCTACGCCACCGAATTTTGATCCCTGCTCCTTCGAATATCCGGCAGGTGAGTAATCGGAAGGAGAAAGTAAAAGGGAGGAAGGGAAATTGACTGGGTGGTTGCTGGGCATATTGTTGCTGTGCATATTGTTGTTGGGGAGGATAACCCTGAGGTGGATATTATCTCCACCGTAGTCGGCGTCTCCATCACTGGCGGCGAGGACGACTCGGTTGCCGTTAGCGAACTTTTCACATGATTCCCAATCGGAACCAAATTGGGCCAGCAGAAACCCGGGTCGGGTTTCAATTTAACGGAAGAAGAAGGGCTCCGGCTCATCTCCACCACTTCCCCTAACCCACCATCCTCGCCGCCGCCGCCGTGAAACCTGTTCAAAACGCAGCCCATGTAATTGCCGCCGAAGGAACCCTCCTCCTGTCGCTGCTGATGGAAATTGTACTGCAATTGATGATGCCATTTCAAGGAATCTGCCGTCGCCGTCGTCGGTGGGTTTAACAACGCGGTGGAGTCGGTTAGTGGAACAACTGGGAGTCAGGTGATGGTGGAGCTAAGCAAGAGGCTCTGTCCACGGCTGTTTCTCGCTACCGCTGAATTTTGGAAGGGAACTTCTGTCCATGGCTGCCCTGAACAGGGTATCACGGTGGTGTATAAGCATCTTTCGGGTAACCTAAAGTAAACAATAAGAAGAAGAAAAATTCAGAATTGGCATAATCGATTAAGAGGACAAGAACCCAGTTCACTAATACCCCAGCACAATTCGAAGGAGGAGGGATCAGAATCGCGGTGGCGTAGATGGCGGAGGCCATCTATTAAGTTTTATTTTTATTTTTTAATAGTTGTAAAATGAGGTGGAAATTGTAAATATTTAAATTTTATTATTTTAATAATTTTTTAATGGCCACGTCACTCATTTAACAGTCAACTATAATAGTTGACTGCCACATCAGCAAAAACTAACGGAGACTAACGGAGAGTGACCAAACTTGAACTATTGAACTAATCTTAGTGACCATGAATGGAATTAAATATTTGGAGTGACCAAACATGAACGTTTTTAGTAAATCCAGTGACCATCCTTGCAATTAACCCTAATAATTAACATCATTTTTCCAAAAAGCAATCCACCTTGCAAAAAAGTGGGCTAACATTTAGTGACCAACAGAAAATTCAGTCTATAAAAATGCGAAATTTCGTGACCAAACGCCGGATAAGGATGCCGGGAATAATGTGTGCCTACTGACTTGGTTTATTCTTTAGTGTATTGTGGACCAACCCGGCAGTTTAGCATCAAATAATTTCATTCCTAATTAATATTGATTTTAGCACCAAATAACTCGAATTGTTTAGAGATTTAATCATAAATCACATGTTGCTTAATTATTGACACATCAACAAATAAAATCTACTCATTTAAGTTTGAAATTTGTACAAATCTGAATATAATGTACGTAATTAACATTAACACAACCATCTACACTTTTTTTATTATTATTATAGAAAAAACATAGAACACCACACTAGCTAAGCTAATTTTCTTTCTTTCTTTCTATTTGCCGCACTAGTAAGGGCGTTTAGGGCAGCCTTGAGAGAAGCCGCCTCCTGTTCCTTCTCTTCGATCGACTTCCTGAGCAGCGCCTCCGTCTTCTCCATCACCTTCTCCTTCTCCTCCACCAGTTTCTTCCACACACCACAAAACTTGCCATCTTCATCTTCACCGCAGCTTCCGTCCACGGTGGGAGGCCCCATCAAAACGTCGCCGTTTCCCATGTCACAGACGCTCCATACGTCGTCGCCACCGATTTCTGGCACCACACCGTACTTGGACCAGCCGAAGTGGTCGTTGACTCTCAACCCCCTGAGTCCTTTCACCGTATTCACCGCCACGAAACAAAGACCCTGACGGTTGACCGCCAGACAAAGCGATGCCCTGCCGTCCTTACTACAGCCCACCTTCAAGTCCTCGACCAGCTCCTTCAGTTGCTCGCCGCCGATCGTGACGCCGAACACCTCCAGGGCCTCGAACTTCGCCTCGGCGGAAGGGCCGACGACGGACGAATGGCCCCAGCTGCGGGCGTCGAGGTCGACCATCCCGAAATCGCGCGGGTCGCCGGCGTACTCTACGACTTCGACGTCGGAGCACTCTTTCCGGTGGTCTCTGGTGATGAACTGTTTGTTGGACAGCAACTTCAGTACCGACATCTTTTTTTTTCAGTGATGGAATTGTCAGATGATGGGCTTATGGATATGTGGATATATAGAGGTATATTATCACTAATATTATTTTTTTTCAGTGACTAAATATTATATATTTAGTAAACCCAATGACCGAACTTAATAATTACCCAAATTATTGTGAACAAGTTTGGCATAATTTGGGGTTGGGTGGGCTTACAGCAGAGAAAGAGATGGGACACAAAGACCAATTGTGAGAGCAACACTGACTGACCCATTTCGGGGGATAAAGTGGATTCACGATTTCTCTCCATCTCCACCACTTTCAAAAGTGGATTCTTTCTGCAATTATTTTCTTCTGCTCTGTCTTTCTCAAGGTCAAGTGTCATAATTCGATTTTGATAGCAATTTTTTGAGAACTAAATATATGCAAACTAGTCCCTTCCCTTTTATTAAAAAAAGGAAGATTAGAGGAGTTTTTCCTTGTATTAATTCCCCACGTTTCATTTCGAGCTCGGTGGAATATATTTCACAATTCACACAACTTAATTGATGGCTGTTCGCCAACCAGTTCAATAAAAATAGCACAAACATAATGGTAACCACAGGCGATGATTAGCGACCAACGGGTGCCGTCCCAAAAGGTCATATTTGCAGGAGTGAAAAATAAAGGTAACAAATCAGACCATGAACACACAACAACACTCAACATTTTATTTTTACCCAACTGGGTGAATAAATTTTACATGACCCCAGTTTGCAGTAACTACGATTCAGACAGCACAAGATTACAATACTGGTACAAACACAAATCCACAAGAAAAATCTGGAGAAATAAATACGCCGATTGCTCCATAAGAAAATGAGAAATCTGGGAAAAATACTCTTGTTGCTTCATAAGTCTCCATGTTACAAGTCCTTAAAATCTTCAGCCCTGCTATTCAAGCATACATGTGAAATTTATGCTTACGTACGTATACAATAAATATTGCAATATATACAAATATGTGAGAATAACTAATATTATTAGTATATATATATATATATATATTAAAAAAGAATGCGAGTATACTATTTACTTACTTGCTTGTCATTCTTTGTTCTTTTCATGGATCGGGGAAGCTCCGGCTCCTTATTGATCAACATGTCGCAACCATCTAGGTTCAGCGTTTCCAATCGAGACAGCTTGGCAAAGCTATCCGGGATCGTCCTAAGCTTCTTACACTGATCCAACTTCAACACGGTCAGGTGTTTCAGTGACAAGACGGACACAGGAACATCCTCGATTCCAGTGCCCGACAGATAAAGCCTCTCCAAGTTACGGAGGTGTGAGATTGTGCCAGGAATCTCAGATATCTTGGAACAGTAGCTCAGATCAAGTCGTATCAACTCGTCAAGTGTCACTATTATGTAGGGGAAACTCTCGAGATTCTCGCACCCTGACATGTCGAGCGTCTGGAGAGATTTGAGCTTGTAGATGGCCTCAGAGAGATGGACAAGGAGCTTGTTGTTTCGTAAGATCAAATGTTTGATCGACATGCTACGATATAGAGTGTCGATGGATGGGAACTTTGACAAGTTAGGGCAAGACGAGCAGTCGATTCTGGTGAGCTTTTGTGCTCCTAGGAGCAAACGAGGGACTTCTTCAATTGGCGTGGCGTCCAAGTTTACTTGTTCCAAGCTTGGGAAAGCTACATCCTCGTTCTGTGTGTTCTCTTCATCCAGGCTAGTAAGGTCGAGAGCTTTGCATGAATCTAGAATCAGGGTTTTGAGGCTAGGGAGGGTTATGATTGATTTGTGAAGCTGGATTAGTTTGCCACAGCTGGTGAGATCGATGAGCTCGAGTTTTTCGGCTGTCGAGAGATCGGGTACCTCGGTCAAGTACTTGGATGCCGTGAGATTGAGCTCTTTCAGATTCCCAAGATCCTGCATGCATGCATACAAAGAAGGTTGTACGTACGTACAAGGTTATTGTATAGAAACGTCATGGAATTTGAAAGAAAACTTGTCGATCGATCGAACGACATTAACGTAGAATACTTACCACATTAGCTCCTTCCCATAAGTGACGAATGCTGTTGTGTTTCAGCCTTAGAACGCGAAGATTTTGGGGAGAGTATCCGGATGGCAAAGATGTGGCAGCGAACAAGTCCCAACGGAGATACCTCAGCTCCTCTGGAAGAGATTTGATGAGCCCTTCTTCAGGAAAAACCGATATGCTTTCTGATGCTAATTCGATGCCAAGCAATCTCAAGTTCCACATCTTTTCAAAAGCATCAGATTCGGTTTTGATTCTCTCCTCTTTTTCGGTCAGATTCAACAAGATTCCTTCCGTTGATTCTGATCCCTGTAGTAAGAATAACAAGATATATGAATGGGATCATCCAATTAAGTTTTCAAGTTATTCCAATAACTCAAATTATTATATTTTAGACGATGCCTACGTACCATATTTTCCGAGAGTAACTTTAGCACATCTTTGGCCTCCCACAACCGAGACCGTTTTCCTAGCATCTTTTCTATCTTAACAATCTCCTTCCCCATGTCCTCAAGCAATGCATGCATTTCGATCGCGCCTTTGGAATAGTTAATCCCAGCAAGAGACTTGTCGACCAAATTGGTGACCAGGTCTTCATCCAACACCCTCGTCACGAATTCATAGTCCTCGTAGTTGAAGAAGCAAGCAACATCGAGGAACGCACTCTGCTCGTCTCGATCCAACTCGTCATAGCTAATCATGAGTAAATCCTGAATCTCCTTCTTGGGAAGTCTTCGCAGCTTCTCCAATGTACCATCCCAAAACCCCATCGTCCTATCATAAAACATCAAGCCCAAAACTTTAAGAGCCAACGGGTTCCCACCGCAGTAAGCTACAACCTTGTCACACATCTCCTTGTACTCATTTGGAGGTCGGTCCTTCTTGAACGCGGATAAGCTGAAAAGCTTTAGGGCTTTTCCCTTACCGAGCCCTGGGACTTGGTGTACTTCTTGACAAACAGCCTTGAGCACCTGTTGATTCGTGCTCGTCAGGATCATTCTACTTCCGGGTCCGAATAGATCACAAAGTTCCCCATGGAGCAACTCTTGTAAGGTTTGTAGGCTTGTCACATCATCGATGATGACGAAAGCCCTGAGACGACGGAGGCGATTGCGCTTCAGATTGAATGGTATGTCATGTGAATTCTCGTCGCCTAACAACTTGTCGAAGAGCTCATTTTGCAAGTCGATCACCGTGGTGGTCCTCTTCAGCTGGCCTGCAAAATTCTGGATGTAATGACGTCCTTTGAATTTGTCTGGATCAATCTGCTCGAAGATAGCTTTGGCGAGGGTGGTTTTGCCAATGCCGGGCATCCCCCAAAACCCTATTACACGGTTGTTTTTGGTATCATCGGTCTCCAATAATTTCTCAACGGCTTCAATCTCTGGCTCTATACCGACTAACCCTTGTGTGACAGGAGATGATTCTGGTCTGATTACCCCTAGGATGCTTTTAGCCACTTCTTCGACCAAACGACGTTCAGGCCTAGAAAAAAATACGAGGAGGTTATTAATTTTTTGATAGCAACAAAGTTAAATTACATTAGAGACATGTATCATAAGTAGGAAACCGACCTCGACAAAGCACGAGAGAGATCCATGGTTCATAAGTAGGAAACCGACCTTAACTGACAAGACGCGTTTTGGGGTGAAATGGAAAAGTTCTTGTGAGAACTCCGAAGTTAAATGTGCTCAATGCGGAGCACAAGGATGGGTGACCTTATGAGAAGTCACCCTGAATTGCACTCCAAGTCGAAACCCGTGCGAGTGTAGAGGTCCAAAAGAAATAAAGTCTCACGAGATGGAAAAGTCTCACGAGATGGAAAAAATATACCATACTTTCATTTTTTTTTATAAATCGAATCTACCTGGCATGAAATAAAGTGATTGGCTTTCATAAGAAAAAAGAAATAAAGTGATTGGCTGACGGGATTATACCAAACTTTCGTTATTTGTAAGAAAAAGCATAGTTGATTATTTGAGAAAAAATATCAATATTTCATTATATGTAAACAAAAAAAAAATCCAATTGAGTGATTTGTGATATTGATAAACTGGGGTGAAAAAAAGTTGGGCCTGAATATATACGTGATTTCTAAGATGAAAGGTTACACGTGATTTATAAAATGAAAGGTGTAATAAATTTTGTTTTCCAATTAATGTAATACAAAATTTCACTCATTAGATTTGACCCACTTAAAATTGAGGGTATTAAACTAGTTATTCGCAAATATATAAATGGGAAAGCGTTTAACGTACTTGACGACCGTGGACTCAAACCCTGAAATATTGGCCGCCTCCATCAACGCACTTCTCCAACTTTTGATTTTGGCCTCCATCTCCTTGTCGTCGGGATGCTTCTTTTTGTGTTGAACAAATGCATCAGCGTAGCGCTGCTTTTGGTGCCTAACATGGGAAGGCGTCACTCCACCATAAAACACCGGTATCATTTTCCGTCCATACCTTCTCGCACACTCCATAATCTTGACAAGCTCGTTCAAGCACCAGTCCGAGGTTGCATAGTTTGGGGAGAAGATGACGACATACGACGAGGATCTCTCGATTGCTTCTGTGAGCGATGGCGAGACCTCGTCTCCTCGCCTGAGACTCACGTCGTCTTTGAAAGTGAGGAGGTGCCTCTCGTTGTTCATGTGAGCAAAGAGGTGGCTCACGAAGGTCTGTCGCACGTCGGTTCCTCTGAAACTGATAAAAACATCGTACTTTATAGTTTGATCGTTGTTGTTTGTAGTTTCTTCCTTTCCTTTCTTCTTGTCCTCCTTTTTAGGGCCTTCTTCCTTTCTCCCAAGTTTTCCCTCCTCTGTGGGTTTTTCTTCCCTCCCCTTCTTTTTATCCTCCTTTGTGGGTTTTTCTTCCTTTTCCTTCATCTTCTCCACCTTCTCTGGCTCTTCTTCCTTTTTCTTCCTCTTCTCGTTGTCCTCCTTCTTTGTCTGCGAGGAAGGTGAAAGAGTTGATTTTTCTTCCTTCCCCTTCCCCTTTCCCTTCTTATCGTCATCCTTTCGCCTCTTCTGGTCCTTCTTGTCCGCATGTGCAGGAGAAGAAGCAACTGGGTTTTCTTCCTTTGTCCTTTTCTTGCCATCTTTTTTGGTACGTGAGTGAGGAAAACGAAACCAGCTCTTCTTCCCCTTTCTCTTATTCTCATGCCTGCCTGTAGAGGAGGAGGGAGAACCTGTTCTTTTATCATGGGAAGGAGTGGGTGACTCTTTCTCCTTTCTCTTCCTGTTTGATGATCCACAAGGAACACTAAGGAAGCAACAGCACCAGGAAATCTCTACTATAGGCATATTGACGTACAAGTAAGATAGTGGTGACGGGAAAGAAAGAATGATAGATTCTGGGGATGAAAAAAGAAAAAATGAATTACACGGAAGAGATGAAGATCACTACCCAACACATTTGTGATAGCTTAATATTCTTATTTTACTCGACCAGAGGGAACTTTGCATGAATTTATAGGAGCTGGCGTTGGAGGACAGAGGTGATGAGAATAACAATAGTTTAGGTGTCACGTGTAGTGAGGTAATCCGAGTAGTGTAATGTGGGTGATGTTAGTGTGATGAGCTAATCGAAACTAAAGTACAAAAAGGTTTATGGGTTAACTATAACTAGATAGAATTTCTGAACTTTTTGTGATCATGGTTATTGAAAGAAGTACATTATAGCGTTGTTGCTATCTAAGTCTATGATGTAAATTAAATACTGAAAGAGCATTTGCAGTGAGCTCCATAAAATACTTTTCGCATTGAATGACAAAATTATTAATGATTATTTGATAAGATATATTGATCAGATTGATATCATGCATTATACAAGTTTTTCGAATGAATGGAAGAGTGGTTTAATTCAAACATACCTCTCGTTACCAGCTCCATACCATATGATATCTCCTTCGTTTTTAAGTTGTTTTTTAAGATATTAGCACTAAAGGAACAAATTCATCATGATCTATTTAATCTATAAATTTCTAGGCGACAAAAATACAGAACCCAAAAATACAATACTATACCACCCTGTTATGAGACTGGTAACTTGTGGTACACAATGACGAAAGTTGTAAATGATTGTTAATTCACTTCTATTATCATTTATTCAACCATCCTACAGTCTTGGTATGTTCATACCACCATAGTCGCTTTCATACCATATGATATTCTCTTATTTAATACCAGTTGATACCATTTGGTATAGACTCATAATAAATGACTCAAATTTTTTTGTTCTAAAAATATAGCAAAGTAGATATCATTTTGAAGCGCACAATTAATATGATTTATCTTAGCAAAAAATATTTAAATTCTGACCTAAAACGAGAGAGAAATTGTCCGTTAAGAATAAAAAATAAAAAAATTAAAGTCTTTTCATAAGAGAGGGTGTTGATGTCACACTGATATGGATGGGCTACTTACCTAAGGTTACTCACCGGATTTGCTCCCGGAGGGAGGGGTGGGGACGGGACCCCTAACGGCTACCTAGCTCCACCCCTAAAAGGGAAACAGATATGATCAGTAACTTACTGGTCGATAACCAGGCATAATCCAACTACAACCCGCCACATCAACAACACTCTGCAACTTATGGAAGAAATTTATCTTTACCCATTAAATTTTAACATACAATTTCTCTCCTGTTTTAAGTCGATATTTAATTTTTTTGCACAGATAAATCAAATTAATTGTGCTCTTCAAAATGATATCCACTTTAACAAAAAAATTGGAACAAGAAAAATTGAGATATTTTTTACCAGTCTATACCATGGTGGTATTGATTGGTATTAGATAAGAGCATGTCATATGGTACCTATATCACCCTTATAAAAAACCCATGTCATATGGTATGAAAATGTAGCACGGTGGTATGAACATATCAGACTATAGGATGATTGAATATACATGATAGTAGGAGTATACTAACTATCATTTTTTACTTTCAACATTGTGTACCAAAAGATACCACTCTCATTCCAGGGTGGTATGATGTGGTATTTTTTAGTCATGTATTTCCTCTCTCCTTAGAAATTCGTATATCTAATAGATCAGGATGAACTCGTTTCTTCTGTGCAAATATTTTAAAAAATGACTTAAAAACGAAGGAGATACCATATGATAAGGAGTTAGTAACAAGAAGTATGAAATTGTTTTCTCAAAAATAGTGAAAATGGATATAATTTTGTAGAGCACAGCAAACTCGTTTCATCTATGCAAAAAAATTTAAAATAAAAATTAGAGCTAATAAAATAATTGCCAATTAAAAACACTAAGTAAAATAAATTATCCTTAATTTCGAATCCTTCTATCTAAATTTTCAGAACCGACTTAAATTCGTATCTTTCAGATCCAGTTTGGTGTTAAAGTGAATCCAATTATTGCCATTTCTACTGTCTTTTTTGCGATCGTTTTCTGGAGATTGGCATACGTGTTCAGGTTTGCTTTGTTAAAGACGATGTTAATAATTTCCCTTTAAGCTTTTGCTTTATTCTCATAGCCAGAAACACAGTGCCCGCCAATTTCGTTTTTCCCCCCCTAAGCGAGTGAATTAACATTCACGGTCAATAAATTTTAGGTGACTAATAAATAGGTAATTTGACCTTTATTTGTCTATCCTTTTCTCTCTCTTTGCATGATAATCATTTGAACTGTCTATCCTTTTCTCTCTCTTTGCATAATAATCATTTGAACACCACTAATCACCCAGAATATTTACTATCGCTCTCTATTCAAGGCTCCAAGATGTGATTCATGGTTGAGGAAGTTGATTGCCATTAAATTATCAGGAGGGATGTGGGAGTGGAGTTCAGGGGGAAGATCAGCCGATCAGGTAGATGTATCAAGCAAGCAGTTCCTGAGACCATCATGATTCTTTCAAACTTGGAAAAGCTTCATCTATCGGTAGATGTATCGGCTTTCTTAGATTAGAGATATAAGAAATCAAGAATACATCGATCAATTAGTTCGATCGTCAGATCACCCATAATATATTAGCCAGTCGATTCAACCAACACGTCTCGCAGTCAACGGTCTTCCAGACCTGAATGACGGTTTATAGATCATACTAAGAAAGTACAGCTACCCTACGTGAATGATTGTTTATGGATCATACTTCACATTATTCACAAGAAGACAAATTGAGAGTTGTTAGGTTATGTGCTATCGCTATCTCATATCTTTGTTTTTTTTTTCTTCTTCTTCGATCTTCTTCCTGTTATGGATATGATAAAATATGAGTATATGACCAAAGGGTTAAAGGCAAATAATTAACATCGTCTTTTTCAAAAGCAGACAACATCCAATTGAGAAAATGATTGCACCATAGTGGGAAATGGGGAGCCTAGCCTCTACACAATTATTCTCTACTAATGCGTTTGAACTATGAATTGTGAGCAAGAAATTGCTATGAGAAGTACGAATAAATGGTAATCGTTTTTTTTTTTTTTCAAGAGGAGATAGGGTTCACTCTGCAAAAAAATAATTTGAGAGGCTAAATATGCATTTAATTATTTATATGAGATTTCAAAAATCAACATCCCTCACACTAGCTGCTGACCAGTCTCATCCGACAAGAACTATTTCTTACCAAAGAAAATTTCCGAAAAATAGTCAGTAATTACTAATTAATACGAATACTAAACAAAAACTAAAATTGACCAACATAAAACCAATCTATAAAAATGCGAAATTTCGTGACCAACGCCAGATAAGGATGCCGGGAGGGAATAATGTGTGACTTGGTTTATTCTTTAGTGTATTGGGGACCAACCCGACAATTTAGCATCAAATACTTTCATTCCTAATTAAAATTGATTTTAAATTAATTTGCACCAAATAACTCAAATTGTTTAGAGATTTAATCATAAATCACATGTTGCTTATTGACACATCCACAAACAAAATCCACTCATATGAGTTTGAAATTTGCACATTAACACAACCATCTACACTTTTTTATTAGTATAGAAAAAACATAGAACACCACACTAGCTAACTTAATTTTCTTTCTTTCTTTCTATTTGCCGCACTAGTAAGGGCGTTTAGGGCAGCCTTGAGAGAAGCCGCTTCTTGTTCCTTCTCTTCAATCGACTTCCTGAGCAGCGCCTCCGTCTTCTCCATCACCTTCTCCTTCTCCTCCACCACCTTTTTCCACACACCACAAAACTTGGCATCTTCATCTTCATCTTTACCGCAGCTTCCGTCCACGGTCGGTGGCCCCATCAAAACGTCGCCGTTTCCCATGTCACATACGCTCCATACGTCGTCGCTACCGATTTCTGGCACCACCCCGTACTTGGACCAGCCGAAGTGATCGTTGACTCTCATCGCCCTGAGCCCTTTGATCGTATTCACAGCCACGAAGCACAGGCCTTGACGGTTGACCGCCAGGCACAGCTTCCTGTCATCCCTACTACAGCTGATCTTCAGATCTCCAACCAGCTCCTTCAGTTGGTAACCGGCGATCGTGACGCCGAACACCTCCAGCGCATCGAACGTCGCCTCGGCAGATGGGCCGACGACGGACGGAGGGCTCCAGCTTAGGGCGTCGAGGTTGGCCATTCCGAAATCGAGCGGGTCGCCGGCGTACTCAAGGACTTGGATGTCCGGCGACTCTTTGAGGGTTCGGATGAACTGTTTGTTGGATCGCAGCTTAAATACCGACATGTTTTTTTCTTCTTCTTTTCTCTCGTGGTACTTAGTATATAAGCTAGCTTAGCATATATGGCTTTCGAGAACAAGCATGTATGTGTGGATATATAAAGGTAGGCAGTTCGGTTATTTCGGTTATAACCGATAACCGATTGACCGGTTATCGGTTAACCGAAATAAACACCTCCTTTACCGAAAACCGATTGAAATAGGTTTTGGTTTCTCGGTTACCTTGGTTATCGGTTAACCGAATCACTTTTAAGACCAAAAACCATTTTGGCTAGCTTCCGATAATCGACCGAAGTTTGGTTACTTCGGTTACCGGCTAGTGGATAACCGGCTGGTTTGAGGGAATGTTTGGGACTAACGGGTCTTAAAATACGTAGAGCTTATCTTATGCATCGTTTTTTTTTTATTATCTTGAGTGAGGTTAGATATAAAAGCTCACTACATTTTTCATTCTGGATAGGAGTTTTGGCTGGTTTTGTTGATTTGCTGGTGAAAGTGTGCGAGATAGTGATATATGAATATTACTACTACCATCTGTATAATCATTTTATACAATAATGTATTTCTACCAGCTTAGTATAATCTTATATACTATCTAACATCATCATCAATGTATAGATTGGTAATTTATGTGTCAATAT